TGCTCCTAAGGTAGAGTACCTAGGCCATTTCATTTCAGCGGTTGGAGTATCAACGGACCCAGCTAAGGTTGATGCTGTTAAATAGTGGCATGTTCCAACTACCCTGAAACAGTTGAGAGGGTTCTTGGAATTAGCTGGATATTATATGAGATTTGTGAAGCACTTTGGGTCTATAGCAAAGCCCCTTACTGATCTTTTAAAAAAGGATCAGTTTGCTTGGTTAGAATCAGCTCAGGAAGCTTTTGATCGACTCAAGTGTGCTCTTTGTTCAGCACCTGTGCTAGCTCTACCCGATTTTAATAAGACCTTCATAGTTGAAACTGATGCATCAGGTCGTGGCATTGGGGCTGTTCTTATGCAAGACCACCACCCTATTGCTTATATCAGCAGGTCTCTAAGCCCATTGAATCAAACTAAATCTGTTTATGAAAGGGAACTTCTGGTTGTTCTGTTTGCTGTACAGAAATGGAGTCCTTACCTCCTCAATAGACATTTCATCATCAAGACAGATCAGAGAAGCATTAAATTCTTCTTAGAACAGAAGATTACTACTCCTGCTCAGCAAGACATCTTAGCCAAATTGATGGGCTATGATTTTGAAATTCAGTATAAGAAGGGCCAAGAAAACAAGGCAGCAGATGCTCTATCTAGAATTACTGGAGCAGAGGTTCTTTTGATGGTGATTAATGGTATTGATACTGACCTGCACAACCAATTGCAACAATCTTGGTCTACATATCCTGATCTGCAACAGCTTATTCATGCACTATAGGGAAATTCCAGTACTTATCCTCATTACACATGGGTGAATAATCAGCTAAGGAGAAAGGGGAAGTTAGTCATTAGAGCCATTCCTTCTTTACGCCAATCTATACTCAAATGGATGCATGATTCATCGGTGGGAGGACATTCCGGTAGGGCAACTACTTTGCAAAGAGTTAAATCATTGTTTTACTGGAAGGGAATGACCAAGGATGTGCAGCAGTATGTTCGGAATTGTTTGGTGTGTCAAACCTGCAAGTATGACAATTCAGCATATCCAGGTCTTATCCAACCTTTGCCTATACCCGAGAGAGTGTGGTCTTCAATTTCCATGGACTTTATTGAAGGCTTGCCTCCTTCCTTTGGCAAGAATGTGATTTTTGTGGTGGTTGATAGATTTAGTAAATCTGCCCATTTTATTCCACTATCTCACCCCTACACTGCTCTCCAAGTGGCTCAGGCTTATCTGGATCAAGTGTTTAAATTACATGGGCTCCCTGATTCCATTGTTTCTGATCGTGATCCTATCTTCCTTAGCAATTTCTGGACTGATCTCTTCCGTCTGCAAGGGGTAGAATTGTTGAGATCTTTTGCATACCATCCACAGACGGATGGACAAAATGAGGTAGTCAACCGTTGCTTAGAGACTTACCTTAGGTGCATGTGTCATGAACACCCGACTACTTGCCCTTAGCAGAGTGGTGGTATAATACCACCTTTCCACTCTTCTCTGCAAACCACTCCTTATGAAGTTTTATACAGCCAACCACCTCCTCTACATCTGCCATATCTTCCTGGGGAGTCTAAGATAGCTGAGGTTGATCGAAGCTTGCAGCACAGAGAAATCATCCTTAAGTCTCTGAAATTCCATTTACATCGTGCACAGAACCGCATAGTACAACAAGCTAATAAGCACAGGAGTCAACGCACCTTCCAAATTGGAGATATGGTGTTTCTAAAGCTCCAACCTTATCCCCAAAGCACTCTTAATTCTTCTCCTCAACAAAAATTAAGTCCTAGGTACTTGGGTCCTTATCAGATCATTGATAAGATTGGTGTTGTGGCCTACAAGTTGCGCTTGCCTGCCGGTGCCCAGATTCATGACATTTTTCATGTGTCCCAGCTCTGAAAATGTCATGGCTCAATTTCAGCTTCTCCTTTGCCTCCTTTTATGATTGATCCAAGTGTTCCTAAGGTTCCTGAAGCCATTATTGATAAGCGCATGGTTAAGAGAGGTCGTGTTTCCGTTACTCAAGTTTTAGTCAAGTGGCTCAATCACCCTGCTGAAGAGTCCACCTGGGAGTTCTATTTTGACCTCAAACAACAGTTTCCTTCTTTCACCTTTGAGGATAAAGGTTCTGGAGGAGGGGAGATTTGATGCAGTATCCTTGGAATTTCTGCAAATCCGGCATAATTACAGTGAATTGCCATTGGAGCTAATGTTAATTTTGGCAAGGAATCGCTGGTTGCTTTTTAGGTCATTGTTTCCTTTTAGGTTGTTATTGACATTTCCATTTTTGTTTATTTCATTGGCTATATAATTGGTTGTATTACCTCTGCAGAATGATGAATAAACACATTGCTATACTTCTTCTTCCTTTCAAAATTCTCTTTTCTCTGCTCCTTTGCAATTTCAAATTCCAGAGAACCAGATCAAACTGGCACTTCGTGTAATCTTTTTCTAATTCAGATTACACCTAACAGCTTGAGTGGTTTACGATTGCCACGTAATCCTAAACCACATCAGGGGACCCCTAGCAAACTCCTTCAAAACATTTTCTTGCAGTTCATATTTCACGTAACCTATCAAATAATTTTTCACGTTTTCTGAAACTTTGATTTGGTTGTTATTAATATATTTTTTGGGATTTAATTGAGTTTTCCTAATATATTCATGTGTATCTTAATTTTTTTCATCTTATCTAAATATCTATACATATAAAAAGTATTATCTAAATACATCTCCCAAAACTGCCTTTTCATACTTATTGTATTTCCAATACTTTAAAGTTTAAACCTTGAATTTAACCCACCAAAATACATTTCTCTACCTCAATTTTAGGAGTTTTCTAGCTTGGGAAACTTCATGGTCAATTTGACCTTGGATGAAATAATTGCGACTTGATTTTCAATTGTACCCTTACCAATCTCTTACACTTGGTTGGCATAGCCTTGAAAATCATCCCAACATCATGATACCTTGCTTTAATCTACACATTTTCACAAATACTTTCCACAAGGCATAAATTTTAAATTTTGCTTGTTTTGTGTATTTATTATTTATAAAAAAAATATTTTGATGCATTTTAAGAAAAAAAAAAGGATGGTAGAGATTTAGATATTTGACGGTGGGGGTTTACACTTTATTGGTTTGCATGTCTCAAAAAATGCAAAAATGCATGAAAAATTGGCATTATTAAGTTGGTTGGGCACTAAGTATTGTGTTGTAGGATTTTAGGGTAAAAAATAAATAAATACATAAATAAAAACCTCCGCTTTCAAATCTAAGATCCCATATTAATAAAGTTTTTATGGATGATCATTTTCAGCCCGGCCCAGCTCAGTCTAGAAATTTGGGCCCACATCAGATCCAGAAATTTCCAGGCCGGGCCTGGGTGTGGGTCCAATACCTTAGGCCTAATCCAGGTTGGAGGGCCTGCAAATATTTGATGTATATGAAATATTTCAAGCAAAATAAACCACAATAATGCATGCCGATATCAACTAGAAAGTCAAAAAAGAAATGTAAACGAAAGAAAAACTAATTGATAATTTAAATTAGTACTTTAAATATTAATAAAATTCGGTATCCTAAGCAAATACATTGATATTTTAATTTTCCCACCATTTTCAAATGTTTTCCAAGTATAACCAGATAGCATATAACGAAGAATTTGCTCAGAGAATTTACAATTGCATGACCATGTCCAATTTCAATGTTTCTGTACAGAAAGAAGAAATACAACAAAGGAGAAGCTGAATTCAGAGACGTCAGGTTCCCAGTAATATGGAATAAGAACACTTCGAACAGAACTTCACATGGTCAAGTGCATTTCCACGAAGTAGCAACCACTCAAATTTTATGCCTTCTAAGAAGCAACCAATGCAGAGAAAGAGACAATTCGGCCCCAGCATTTTTTTTTTTTTTGATAATTGAAAATAATTCGGCCCCAGTATCTTCAAGAGAGTGGGTAGCATGTGACCTGCAAGTCTGCAACTCTAATTGGGACTTACAAAATGAAACATTATTGTAGAACGAAATGAATTGCACAATTCCTTCATCCATGATTCATGAAAGATGTGTTTTGTAAGTGAAGAAACTTTTCTTCATTTCACTGCACTGACCCATACACAGTGACAGATATGGCATTCCATAACAACTCATGAAAGTTGGTCTGCAATTGACCATGTCATCTAGCACATTTTACATGGAATTTATCATGATTCAGGTAAATTAATATTTTCTTAAGGCAAAATCACTTGGCTCAGTCATTCATCTGGGATATTTAAAGATGATGCAAAGGCCAAAGTTAGTATTTGGCACTTCATACCGGAGGTCAACTTCAATTTGAATCTAGGAAGTAATCAGCACATCCAACTTTCATTTTGAATTGGAAGATGTTTAGGTTGAAAACATTTCAGCCATATTGTCTCTTTTATGATGATAATCTTTTCATTGCCACATAAACCAACACAAACTAAAAGGGGGTGGGAAAATGGATTCATTGTAAAAAGGGCAAAAATAATAGCTGAAAGGAAAAACCTATGATACTGGAAAGGCTTTGATCAATCAAAACCCCCAGTGAATTTTGATGAAACCTACCTGATTGGTTACTTTTATGATGCCAGTTGATTGGTTGTAAGCTTTTCAGGTATCATGTCTTTCTAACATCATAGTTGAACCCATAGTTAAAATATTTCAGTCAGGATTTTATGCCCATTTTACAGAGAAAACCACAGCCTTAGGTTATTTACCAAGTTTTGCTTACAGGTTTCATATCACCAGCTATATTATGCAGAAACAGCATGAACACTGGATGTGGTATTGGATGCAAAATTTGCACTGAAAATTGAAGTATCCAAGACAACTTTTGATGCCCTTGAATAGGTATCCATGTACCATAGTCAACAAGCTATGTTAGTAGTATGACTCAAAAATCAGCTATAAGGAAACCAATCCCATGAAGTTATTGATAGAGGTCAAGTTTTCCAATTGCCATCAAATCCAAACAAGTATATGAAGCTAACAATATTTTATTTACAATAAAGTAGTACCTCTATTACAAATACTCATTATGAATAAAGTCAACTTGATAAAGATTTAACTGTCAAACAATACTTGCTCAATATTTCTTTTACAAATTATATTATTTACATAAACATTGTATGGTTATGGCTATCTAAAATTATGTTGAGTTTTGTCATCTATTCCAGGTATACACAACACAAGTGAATCAATGAAAGGCCTTGACAAAATAACCTTTGATTTTACCTTCAGAAAACTGGTCCCAGGAAAACCTCAAATATATTGAAACTGGACTTAATACTGTCAATCACTTTCTTCTTGTTCAATATTCTTTGGAGGCAAACCATGATGGCGGAGAGATGTAAGACTGGAAGGAAACATCAATAAAAGAATATCTGATCAATGTCTTTGAGAAAAAAAGAATGGTAACTAATAAAAGGGCGCTCAGTGCATGAGGCTCCTGCCAATATGAGATCTGGGGAGGGACAGAGATGTACACAGCCTTACCCATGCACATACAGAGACTGTTTCCAAGATTTGAACCCTGGTCACCCAGGTCGCAATGGAGCAACCCAACTGTTTGTGCCAAGATCCACCCTCAAAGAACAGTAACTAATGATAACCAAAAAAAGATGCTTGAATTTCAATGAACACATAGGAAGTTTTCCACCATACCTGCAATTTTGTGGTACCCTCCAGGATGATAGTCTCAACTGCTTCAAATCTTCTGGAAGAGACAAAAATCTTCTCCAATCCTCAAGCATAATTTTAAGATCATGGAGCTTGCTATCCAAACCATAACAACAATTTGCATGCATAGTGCATACTTCATTTAAATCTTTGCTTGGCTCACATAATCCACCAAAGTAAGCAGTATTCAAAAATCTCATCTGCAATCCAATCTCAATAATGAAAGGATCATATTTTATTATGTTTAGCACATCCTGATCATGATATCCAGGATAGGTTTCTCTTGAGGAGTACCAGAACCTGTAGAACTCTATTGTCCGGTTATTGGATTTGGCATAGTTAAATCCTCCATTTGCCTTGTTCTGTACATCATATGAGTTACCTATGAAATGATCACATGCTGTTTGGAAATCTGCATCTGAATAGAAGTGTGGAAGTGGATTACGGAACCACATGATGTCAGCATCCTGAAAGAGAAACCAACCAAAAAGGTTTTGAAAAAGTTGCAAACAATGATGAAAGAAGAACTTCAATGATGATAAAGATGAAACCAAGAAAAAGAAAGGCAATAAATACAAAAAAAAAATCTAAATTTTCAGACACATACACTTTAATTGCAATAACAAACATATCATTGCAGGAAAACCCAAGATACCATGAGGCTTCAATTATTAGTGAAAAAGAAGCCATCCAGCAATTTCCTACAAATGATTGAAACTCAACCTTTAATACTAAGTTCAGCATCTACTACTTTTAGTTTAGACCATCATAATAGCCACATAACCAAAGTAGACATAACTCCATTTATAGTGAGGTGCAATATTATATATTGATGAAAGCCAATATAGAATGATTATCAGAGAAAATAATAGAACAAACTGCCTAATTGAAAACAAGCAAAACAAGAGGATGAAACTTTTCTTCAGAATTTTCCATGGGGATCATTCTAGGCCTTTGAAGACCTACTCTAGATGGAAGGAAGCCAATCAATAAGACATGTTCTGATATGGTGAGAAGACAATTGTTTGGAGTTGGGCTAATTTGGACAAGGGAATTTTTGTTCAAGTTCAAATAAAAACTTAAAATTTCTTGTTTCAGTAATTTGTCTTTTTGTGCTAACCTAAATCATGTCTAATTTCTCTCATATTTGGATACCCTACATAAATCTTTATTACCCTTTATCTTACCAAATTTCATCCCAAAACTCCATCTAGAATCCCAGATTCCATAATTTTCAGAATTGTTTTTGTCCTTTCAAGTAAGACGTACTCCATACCCTACCAAGATTGTATACTTACTACAAGTACAACAGTACAACCATACATGCTAAAGCTACACAGAAAAACTTCATATAAAATTTCGGCTGCTAGACCAATTTTCCTTGGTTCGAAACTTATTAGCTTTTGGATAAATCTGCGACTCTGGCAGTTTAAAAACTCTTCCCAACCCTGTCAATCTCTACCCAGTCTTAAGATTTGTAACTAAAACCTATCCTAGATAATTAATACCTTGCTAAACTAATCTCTACATCATTGCCACCTTACATCAGTTTGGTATTGAGGCTATTAGACCTACACCAAATTGGTACCCAAGTGATCTGTCTTATATTAATTTTGGACAGATAATGTATAGAAGGCCTAGTACATACTAGATGCATCAAAAGAACTCAATGCACCACTTCGCCAAAAAAAAAAGAAAAAAGAAAAGAAAAGCCAACTGACATGAAACTTGGTTAATTCCAATCATATAATTACCAAATGAAGTTAAATCAGGCAGGTTGTAACCAGAGCCAAGGTTTATAGTAAATTAATCAACTAAAAGTCTAAAATTGAAAAAAAAAAAAAAACAAAACAAAAAGTTTTTTACTTCCAATTGAGGATGGGAGCAAGGAAAGAAACCATGGAAGATATCAGATTTCTTATGGATTTTGGTATGTAACTACGAGTTTTTTTTTTATAAATTTGTTTCCTACTTTATTGCTATTTTAGGATTTGAGTTGATTGTCGTAAAAGGTACAAAGTAGTTTAAAGAATCATATTAGAGGTTTTAGAATTTTGAAAGCTACATCAAATTTCTTGAAACCTTTTTTCAGGGGTAAAAAGCAATGTTTGCAACCCATCATTGACCTAGATGGTCGAACCAGTTGATCCATCACTCGGTCAGAAAACCATCAACACAGACAGTCAAACTGATACTGCTCAAACCATTCACAGATGAATCTTCTTTCACTATTCTGTTCTATTTAATGCCATATCCATTGTAAAAATGTAATGTAATCTTATTAAAAGATTTAAAAGAGAAAGAGAGAAGGGGTGGGGAGAGAGACAGATATGTGTGTGTGTGTGTGTGTGTGTGTGTGTGTGTGTGTGAGAGGGAGAGAGAGAGGAGAAATCAGGAGAGGGAGAGACAGATACCTGTGGCAGTAGCACATGGCAACTGGTCAGTGGTGACAACAGCTGGGCATCTCTCTCTCAGCAAATAGAGGAGAGTTTTGTGGAGGTAGCACATTGGAGAAGAGCTGTGATGATTAGAGGAAGCCGAGCTTGAAGATTAGGAAAGAAAAAATGGCTATAGTGCTGCTAGTAGGGAAAGAAGTAAACGAATGGTTGAGGGACTTTATGTTTGAAGTGGTTTCTTCGAGTAGGCAAGCTGGTTGAAAGGACATGAGAGTAGAAGATGGAAGAAGATATGTGGCAGAGTGTAAGAGGAATGCCAGAGGTTCATTCATAGTGCTGTACGAATTCTTTGGCAAGGGGAGAAAGCAACTAGTGTGCTTTCCAGAAGGGAGAAAGTGCTTTGGTTGGAAGGAAATTGGAAGAATGTTGGGCGACTTCCTGAATCAAATGGACAGTGCACAACTGGAGGCTAAAAATGAGTTAGAAGATAATATTCAGAATGGGGTCACAGATGTGGTTGGACAGGAGTCTGTGATAATTGCAGAATGGTATTCAACTCAGGGAAGAAAGATTAAGAAAGCAAACCGGTGATCGAAGAAAAGGAACCGATCAAAGATTGGAGAAGAATTGTTGATCTCTTGATAGTGAACTTGAAACTAAAAGGTTTATTAATCTTAACCCCTTTTGACAGTTGTAAAGCAGTGTTTGATTTGGTGTAAGATAATTGAGATTGAGGCTGTGAGTTTTCATACTGATTGTGTCACATTAACCATTTCTAAATGGTGTCCACTGTCCAACTTGAAGAATATCCTTGTTGAGGACGGGGTGACTGTGTGTCTTATTGGGCTGCCTTCCATACGTGGAAGCAGGAACTAGCAGAATCAAACACTATGGTGTGTGGTAGTTGCCTTGGTGGCGTATTCTGGAGATATCTCCACTCTGCAGCTCTGTTATTGAACAAAGTGAAGCCCAAAGATAATCGCAGAAAAATCAAAGTACTAGTGGATGGGTGTTTAACGTGTTTTTACTCAGTGTGGTTAACATCTTCCATTGAAGCAGCTCTTTGAAGGGGAACTCACAGGGAAGAAGATCAGAAGGTTCAAGAAGAAGAAGCCTTGCATGGCAAGCAGGTATTGGCAATTTCAAATGAGATGAGAAGTTTCACCAATATGGGTAAACTAGGCGTGGGAAATGCAAAAGATATGGGGCAGGTGGAAAGTTTTAAACATTTAGAGCAAGTTATACAGAACGTGACAGATCCTTCACACAGGTGGTCACTAATGGCACCATAAACAAAAGAAATATTTTAAATTTGGAGAGGAACAGTGAGGAGTTGAAAGGGCGAATTGATAGATTAAGAGGGCCTGGGTGAACCAGTGAATCAAGTTTTGGCACATGACACTTCAAGTAGTCACATGGGAGCACAAGATCATTCTAGTGGGCCTGCCCGATTGAATGGACCCATGGATGTGTTTTCTAAGGAAGAGGGTAACAATTTTAGAAACTCTGAGCCACATCATCCTGGGTCGGCCAAGACTAATTTGAACAACTCTTTAAATGCACATGTCATTTTAGGGGGGAAATCAATGGACGATAAAAACAATATATAATCTTCCTCTTCGAGCTTTTCTTCTCAGCAAGGTGCAAGGAGGGCAGAGCTCTAATGTCTCTTTGCAGTGGGTTCCTTTAAAGAAAACGATTTGTACCTCTTATGACAGATGCAACCCTTGATGCTTGAGACGTGAGGTGGAAAAACAAGAAGATGGTAACTGGTCTGTAGAGGAAGATAGTAACGATTCGGATTCTGAAGATACTTAGGTCCCAATTTTTCAGTGAGTAAGAGAAGCATATTCACTTTCCCTTAGGCCTCTTTCGAAACCTAGGTCCCAATTTTTCAGTGAGTAAGAGACAACTTTTTTGTTCAGTAACAATCAGAAGTTTTATTAGAGGATATGAACAACATGCACAAGTACAGAAAGGAAGTGTAACTTGGCAGGTTACCTACACCCACATAGATTTATACAATATATTCCCTAGGAACCTCCCCAAATACATTTGAGTTCTATTAAACCCTTGCCTAGGTAAAGCATCAGCCATGCTGTTTGCACTTCTACAATGGTTAAATCTCTTTCTCATAAGTCAACATAGATCCTTGATTCCTTTTCTTTAACCACCATATACAACCAAAGAGGACTTTCTCCTTCACATCCTATACCAAGTTCACATTAAAGTTCAAATATTCACCTTTCACCACCCAAGAAAAAAAAAAGGAAAATTTAAGCAACATCGTGAAAGATAATATAAAGGTAAAAAACTTACAGTTAAAACTAACTCATGAAGCAAGATCCTATTAACCAAAACATGCATAACATAAAAAGAATGGTCTCAAACATGTGTTATTCAACAAGTGAGACAAAATTGCATGTGATTAAGTGTGTATTTGAGAGAGAGCAAAAGAGAGAGTACTGTAAAAATGAAGTGGTATCCCATCTCAAGAACAGACTGTAGAAAATTAATCCTTCTCCACATCATTTTCAAGTAATCGGGGGTCATGAAATATGCTTCTCCGGAGAAATTAACTCCTTCAGTGAGAAGAGCAAAACAATGGGTATGCATAGCCAAACAACGAGTATATGCCTTTTGGTCCAAGGCAATAACCACCAAGTGATTCAAAAGCATGTGTGTATGATCCCCAATCCGGAAGCTCTCAAGGAAGAGATCAAAAATGGAATCTGGAGCTGCCCATGCTTCGTTCAAAGTGGTTAAGATAACAGTTCTATCCTCCATGGCTGCTGCCTTTAAAACTCTTTCCAGTCTCAGTTCCTCACTATCCTACAAAAATGACCAATTTTAATAGATAGGAATTATCTGTTAAATTCATTTTTTTCCCTCATCAAGTATTAAAACAATGCCTTCTGATGGATAATTCTAATTAGCACAACAATAGATAAAGAACAAAAATTAGTTTCTTTTCCTCAAAGAGGGTATATTTAAGGTATCCATCATATAATCACCTTTGTCAGGCACTCAACAACTGAGATAGTGAGATGCGGTTTGCTATTTCATATTGCCAGATCCTCATGTCTTTCTTACCATGAGGCAGAACATGATGAGACATAAATATAGAATTAGAGTTAAAACTATATTGTTAAAAAATTAACTTGATGAAGTATATGAATAGCAATCCATCTTATGAGTTGTATAACATAATGATTTACGGCTAAGAGAATTTATAAATTAATTTAATGCAACTTAGAAACTTCCTCTTAAGGAAAACAAACTAGTAATCTAGGGTAAATGACAATTAATTTAATGGAAAAGAAAGAAGAAAAAGGAATCCATAAGCATAAGCGTTCCATTTCAATCTACTGAAATGCTAAGAGATTTGGAATTTAAAGGTGGCGAAATGGGCACACTACCATATTTAAAATTGCACGTGGCAAAATGAGTTTGTTCAAGTATTCACCTGACTAACTAGACACCAATCCCTGGCTCCTAGTAACTCTACAGTCTACATTCTACTGTATAGGTAAACTCTACACATTCAGAATCCTTGTCGAAACAGCAGTAGATGAATTGTTTCTCACCAACATCTAAAGATATTTTTCATGTTTAGTGCCACAAATAAGAAGCAAGAATTTGGAAGTTCTTTGACTTAACTAAATGATAGATCAAAATAAATCTACTTAGTAACAGGAACTGTAAGTGGTGTAACACCAACTCCTCTGATACCAAACTGATTTAGGGCAAAATTCAACTTGTGATTGGTTTCTAGAAATATGCAAAAGGATTAAAAGAGGCCTGATAATTGGTCCTAGCTATTTGGGGTCTTAGGAGGGATGGACTCTATACAAACCAAACCTTTGGCATATCCTGCACAAAGTGGCTGTTCTCAAAACTCAAATTTGCATTCATATATATCTACTAGGCAAATAAGTGCTTATGGAGGACCACCTCGACCAAACACCTTGTGTTTATTACATAAGGTGCACTATGCTAAGTGCTCACCAATGCAACAAACTGGGAGACTAGGTGACCTAAATGGAAAAGGTGGTGCTTTATATTATTTTTATACCTTCATATTATGGGCTTACAATGTTAAAATAAGATGCTATACCAAATCATTTATCAAATTACACATTAATAGTAACTGTTTTAATGTTGCTGCTGAAATCCAAGCTTGAAGTCTTATGTTTGAATCCTTTTCGGCAAAAATCTTACGGTTTTTGTTTAAATCATATGATTTGATTCATAAATCTTACTATTTATACAATTCTTGAGATTAAAATAAATTCAATTAAGAATTAGCTCTCTTCTTGATCATTTTGTTTTGTTTATATTTAGTTTTATCAAGGGTCACTTTTTTTCTTCAAGACCTTACTAGAAATTGATTTATTTATGTTTGTTAAGACCATACATTGAGTTTATTTTCCATATTGTATGTGGAGTATTTGACTTTCAAGTTTCAAGTCAAACTTGATTATATCATCTTAGAGTCTTAGACTTCTATTATATAAGCGGTAAATTCTATTGTTTTAGGTACATATATGGTAGATATGGAATAAAAATAGGGTACAATCACTTTTCTATATATTTTTTCCTTTTAGCATATCTATTTTTAGTTTTTGGGATTATAGCTGATAAGGGCAACTTTTGGGTCTTATTGATAAAAATAATTTTTTTAACATAATTTCTAGAATAGAGTAACTTTTTTTAAAAAATATCAAAAAAGGGTAAAAACACTGTTCATCTCCTTCCTCTTTAGACCACCGAACAAATCTCTCCACCTCCGGTCCCTCTCTCTCTCTCTCTCTTTCTCTCTCTCTCTCTCTCTCTCTCTGTACTTCTTTTATAGAACCTCCCAACCACCAAAGCTTTTTCTCTCTTTTTACAGTTTGAACTTTGAACTCCTGAAAACACCACACTTTCTTCCCAGCCTCTTCTAAGTAGAGGCTTCCAAGACTCGTGGAACTGCGCCTATCGCCGATCTCAGTTCTTCTAACGGTGTTTAGGCACCTAACCCACCTCCATCCTTTTTATTTTCATTTCTCTCCTGCGTTGTATCCCACTTTTCTCTCATTCAACTGAACATGCTACAACCACCGACGTTCATCTCTAGTTGTTTAGATCACAAAGAACAACCGGGGTGGCTCTTCTAAATCTAATAGATCCCAAGAAAAACAACTGGTTTCAAATATTCCGATCTATCCATCACTTAGTGAAGAAAGTAAATGATATAACCAAATGAAAGAATGAAACAAGTGAAAGCAACTGAGCGCCATTTCTCTTTTACTCTGTTTCTAGATTCCCAAATTCCAATTTCCAGGTGCTCTCTAGTTTATTGCAGGGGCGCGTAGTGGCTCTACATAATTGAAATGTATGAAAAACTATGTACCTTTGAAAGAGCTAATGGCTATTCATCCTGTTGCCACTTAATAAAACATCTTGTTAGTTTTCATCTTACATAATAGTTCTCTATCGTTGTACTAAGAAGGCAAGAACTATTATCGAATTCCAGCATATATGCTCTGTTAATGTTTCTCCTTGTGAGGAAACGATTTTTCACTTTTCTTTCTTACTAGTGAAGTGATATATGCAACCTACAAACAGATTAAAAAGAAAAGATGATATATAATATGGATTTTATTCTTTTATTTTTAAGTGAAAAGAGGAACCTGTATCTGTGAATTCTGGGTTTTGGGAGTCGATGAGGATGAGCAGGAGTCCCTATTCCATACAGTAGTAGATTATTGAACTCTGAGAGTTGAGAACTCCATCCTTCTATTTCTCTCCTATTTTCTATAACCAAAGTTACCAAACACAGCCCAATTAACCAGTGAAATTAGGGAAGCTTGTAAGACAAATTCCACGCATTGCTATCACCTGAAAAAGATTCACGCCTAATCCATGGGTAATGGAGATTTGCTTCCAATTCCAAATTTTTTGTTTTTTTTTATTAAAAGAAGATCGATACTTGGAATTTACGAAATTAATTTTGTTGTGTGGAGGAAAGAGGAAGAAGAAGAAGAAGAAGAAGAAGAAGGAGGAGGAGGAGGAGGAAAGATAAAGATAGAAACCAGAGGTGGATTCAGTGGCCTGAAGAGGAAGGAGATGAACAGTGTTTCTACCCTTTTTTTATATTTTTTAAAAAAAGTTACCCTATTCTAGAAATTACGTTAAAAATTTATTTTTATTGATAATAAGACCCAAAAGTTGCCCTTATCAGCTATAATCCCTTAATTTTTTGACAAGTTTCTAAAAAATGCAAATAATCTTATGATTTTTTATACAATCCATGATTCGATTTCGATTCGATTCAACTTTCTCTACAATTTAAGATACGACTACAAATTTTTCCACTTTCAATAAAACTTTTCTTTTGCATTGATTGTGTTATGTGTAACCAAGAAAAGGAGACAGAAAATAACTTCTTTTTTACTTGTCCTTTTGTAAGAGTTGTATGGTTGCAGGCCTAAGGTGGCATCAGCCCACGGAGATCAGAAAATAAAGCCATGCATGAAATAATCAATGCATGACAAGAAGTAATAAACAAAAAAATAATAATAAAGAGCTGAAACAGATATTCATGGGTTATAAAGATTTTGAGATTCACAATGTATTTTTTTTTTTTTTGAAGATCAATAAAGGAAAAATTCATTCAATCAGGCATAAAATACAATGTTTTGGTGACAAGAAGTCACCCCAACTTTTGCAAAGGAGAAGCAAAGAAGAAACAGAAAAAAAAAAAAAAAAAACTAGACTTAGTAATAAGTGTTCCAGAAGTCATCTCCTAAGTTGCTTTGCTTAAACCTTCAAATTCTGGCAGAACTAAGACCCAGCCTACAATCCTTGAACTGATGACAGCCCCTAACTCTCTGTTGCTCTTGTCTTCTCGATTTGCCTTAAAAAATTCTCTTATTTCTTTCTTTCCAGGTTTTCCAACATACAATTAATGGAACACAGCTCCAACTGTTTTTTGTTTTGATGCTTCTATTCACTCTTTGGCCCGAAGCCAAATATCTCCATGCAATCACTAGAATCCCATCCATCCTAGTGATTCACAATGTATTATTTTGTCTATAACCTTAGTTTCATACTTTCATAGCTTTTTTATCAGTAACCAGTAAACCAATTCATTAACTTAAGACAAAAACATTACAATAAGTTTCTGATACAAAGAAAAATAAAAAGAAACCTTTCAAATTTTACAGCCCCTATCACAGATCTGCCCAAAAAAAGTTGACCCCTATACACCCTTTGTTTTGCCAAAACATCAGCCATCCCAGTAGCTGTTCTCTTTGCCCAAATGAAGTTTGCCTCTAATTCCTTTGCTATTACAGCCCCTATCACAGATCTGCCCAAAAAAGTTGATTTCTTTTATTAGATGTCTGAACATCCACACACCTGGACTTCCATCATTTATCCAAGATATTACTTTGAGTTGCCCTCAATCTCCAGATTCTTAAAACTGTGTTGCTTTGCTAGATTCAATCCTTGATGTAAGACCGATATTTCTGTTCTTGGAGAGTCCCTTACTCCAAGATAATAATTTAAAAAGGTGTGCCTAAACTTGCTTTTTTCATTTCATAAAATATCACTTTATATGTTTGCATATTTCACAATGTTTCCACCATGCCTATAACTTTTACAATATTTCCAACATTTCTGACATGTTTCCTATATTTAGATGACCGGCATTTTCACCGACACCAACCTTTTAAATCTTGTCATATTTATCGTGTCATATATTGAGTTCTTAGTATATTAAGAGTCGGGACATTGATTTATGTATTATCAGTGAAGTTATTGTATGACATCTAGATGTCCTATATGTTGATTGCAATGTGCTACTTCTTATGTGATTTTTATGAGTTTACACCTTATACCTTATTTATAGTAATTTCAACCTTAGATTTAATGTCACTTGTTAAGATTTTTTTGAATTTCATTAACGTACCCATGTGCATCCAAAGCATACTGCCAAAGATATCCTTAAATTTCCTTTCTGATATTCTTTCTAGGATTTTAAACATTGGTTATAATATAGATTGGCAATCTGATGTGGGTATTGGACAGCCCCAAACTCAATATTCTGCACTGGGCTCCTAGCCTTATACTGACATCCTTGTATATTTACACTAATATGTTAATACAGTATTCCCTCTGTTCTGTTACAGATTAAAACAAAATCTTCAAAGAATGAGAAGCCCATCGGTTTCTGCCAAAATAAGTGCAAAAAAGTAAACAAAAAAGACAGAAAAGGGATTAAAAACGGGGAAGAGAAGAAAATAGTGAAAACTTAACAGTGGATGATCAATAATCCACAATTACTACAAAATTTTAGCAAGATTACAAGATGAAGGAAACATAATGAAGGGATATGATATTTTTAGTCTTTGGCAACTATAAAATCAAAAACAGTAAAACATCTAGAACGCCATTTTGATAGTTTAACATTACTAAAAAATCGACGTTCCCAACGAACTTCCACTGATCTATTTAGCTGATACTAAGGCCCACTACAACGTTCGAAGTCCCAGTCCAAGAAAAATAAAGAATTTCTAAATTACCTGGATAGCTAAAAATGAGTTATAAAGAAAATGTAGTTAAACAATCAGTGTTAAAAAGGAATAAACAATAAAGGAGAAACTCACCGAAGATAAATCAGACTCAATGGCATCAAAGGAGAAAACGTGGTTGAACATAGAATAACCATCAAAAGGGCGAGAGAGAAGTCGGAAAGTAAAGGCAGCATTATAGATAAGAACACATGGTAATGCGACAACAACACAGAGAAGCGCAAGCATCATGATCCGGCGGACCATAACGCCGGAATACGGTGACGCTTCAAGGGTGTTTACACCGGCAGAACGGAGAACGGTCATCATCATCATCTCTCCTCTCCGAATCGCCACGTTTCTCCCTGCTCTCTTCATGAATAGGGTTTTGGGTCTGTAGCTTCAGCTTTTCTTCCTTAATTCAATCAGGGCGTTAGAGTGGAAAGGAAAGGCGGACGGTGAGGGAAATTTGAAATCTGAAAGGGAGAGAAGAGACATTTTCGGTTTGAGAATGAAACCGAATAGCATTTCGCAACGGAACGCCTGCTTATTGGGTTCAAATTTCTTCTAGTTCTCAGAAAGCTCAGAGAGTGAGAAAGAGAGTGGCAGTCGCCCATGACCGTACGCACGATTTAGCTTTTTCTGTGTCTTTTGGTGGGACGTGGCAGAAAACAAATTCACTAGACCCCACTTAGATTTTCCCTCGTTGAATTCATAGTCCAGCTCCTGTGAATTTATTTAGCATCCTTGTTCGGATATGGTCATATATAACCACGTGGCAAATCAGAACCACTTGTGTTAAAGCTACTTCTGCCACCTGTAAAATATGGGCCCAATTGGAGGTTGACACGTCAAGAAAATTTGGCGAAACTGTTTTTTCGAAAAAACATGGCTATTTAGGTGGATTGGATTCTTCTCAAAATTGAGAGTTGGGATGGTTGGATACTGAACTGTCATTCCAACTTTCATCCAATCCGGTCCGGTCCAATGCGAGTCCATTACAAATGGACTTGGTCCAATCCAGTCCGATGAATATTTTGGACCGGTTTAGAGACTGTCCAATCTGTTCAAATTCCTGTTAATTTAGATTGGTTTCAACTTAAACCTGGTCCATATTGACACCTATGTTCTTATCTTCTATCATATTGGCTCAATCCAATATAAATTCATTATGGATGGATGGATCAGGTCCAATCCAATATGTCATATTGGTCCGTCCAATCCATCCAAATTCATTATGTCTTATTGGTCCGTCCAATCCGTTCAAATGGATTTTGGTTTGGATGGAATCCAATCCAAAACCGGGGTCCATTGGCACCACAAGGGGAGAGGGCTATTCTATTCTAGCTAGAACTCATTTTTTTAGTATATTATAGAACTGACTAAAACATTTGATTGATACTTCCTCATTCAATTCCTTACGCTATTTGTTAAAGTTTCAAGTTATACACATCTATTAGTCTTCAAAATTCTTAATTATACAATCCATCCCTTTGACCACTAAACTTGCCCACATTTTCTTTCATCTTGGTATTACTATTGCTCTTTTAAAGCCTTTTACTTTGTATGAAATATTCTGTTGAAATTTAATATAGCGAAGATCGTAGTCCCTTTCTAAAAAAATATAACTGCAATGCTTTATATCAAGATTTTTTTGGTAATCAATAGTGAGAGTACAAATTATACCATGCTGCCCAGACTTATATCAAGGTTGCGGAGTAAGAATACAAAATATACTAATGTATAAACCTTATTATACATGGATTCTGATTTTGTATTAACTTAATATAAAAACTAAAATTGTATCATTTGGGAAAAATCATGATGTTTTTATCATTATTCTTTTCACCAAGATCAAGAGTTGTAAACACAGCAATCATAGAATCCTCTTTTTCATTTTACCTAGGGGTATTCATGGTCCGGTTCGGTGCGGTTTAGAGAAGATCTCAAACCAAACTAATAAATTACGGTTTGAGAAATTACCAGAACAAATTGCTTTATTATGGTTGGGTGTGATTTTTAATACAGTTTGGGGAACTTTGGACCATTCTTTGATTCTATTGGGCTTAACCCAATTAGAAAAATCCAAATAGCACCCCTAAAAATTAAAACTTAAACTTTTTTATTTTATTATTTTATTATAAAATAAAAGAATTGTTATGTATTTATAATTTTATAAATTCAACTTAGATATATTATATTATAGATATAATATTTATACATCATTTATTTATATAATTATATTGTATATTTATAGATTTATAATTTTGGCTTACGGTTTGATTCAATTTATAAAGTCCAAGAAACCAAACCAGACCGTAAAATTGGTTCGGTTCGATTCAGTTTTGCGATTTGAACCAAACAATGAGCACCCCTACTTTAAGCTGCTCTTTTATATTATGGGTCTTGAGAATGTTAGAACTAATGTGGTTTTTGAATATTACTTCTAAACATTTAAGGAGGTAACTCTTTTTTATGTCCATAAGGATGGTTGCATTTAAGGAGGTAACTATTTTATCTATAAAGATGGTTTCATCAATAGAACATGTGCTACATATTTGACCTTTTGTTGTAATATTCTCAATGGATGCATTATGAATTTTTATGAATCAGTATTGGTGTGGTTTTGCATTTTCAATGGATATTTTATTTCTTGGTTAACATTTTTTTATTGTGCTATGTTTGTTTCGAGGTAAGAATTTTATTTTTGCAATGGAGATCTTCTAATCCTCCTACATTAAAGCAAATGAAACCTTATTTTTTTTTTCTATAACCAAAATTTTTAATTGAGCTTTTTAATCATTGTACGTTGCTCAATTTTTTATTTACTCTATTGTAATATTTATTTCTTGCTAAAAATTTTCATTACTATTGTTGTTTTTTTCCTAGACTTTTAGAATGCTATTAGTTGATGAATATTGTCACTATATTTATATGTGAAATCTATACTACTATAAAAAGTACGAATAGCCTATAAAATTTTTGAAATTTTTCTTGACTAAAATACCCTTTTTTTGAAATATGATCACCTCTTTATTGTGAAGGTAAAAAATGTAGTTTGAATACTAGTTATTCAGTGTATTTTATTCCCTATCATTAATCCAACATTTAATGTATTAACTCTCATTCACCCTTATTGAATCATATATGTTTAACTCCCAATAACATAAAAACTTATACTTTTAAAATCTACTAGAAAAAATAGTGTTTTCATCTAGGTGGGGTAAGAAATTAAACCATTTTGAGTCAAATGGGCCAACCCATGTTGCCACAATTAAATAATAAATTTTAAAAATAGATAAAAATGCAAAAATATGAAAATTAAAAAAATTAGGAACATTTTTAACATCATATATTTGACATATTAAATAAAAATAAGCATGGGAAATAAGAAATATTTTTATTAATGATGGAAATGGAATATAAAATTTAAAACCAATTGGAAATAAAACTATTTTTCTATTCTCTCATTAAATCTCATATGTAAGGTATATTCTCTTATTAAATCCTATATTTATGATATTTTATCATTATTAAATGATATTATTTAAATCCACAACGTTGGTTTTAATAGTATAAAAATAAACATTTTGAAAAGTAATTTAAAAAACAAAAACCATTTTCTTCCCTCCTAGTGGCGGGTATGCAATTCAACCATTTGTGGTCAAATGGGTTAAAATTTCATAATTAAATGATAAAAAAATAAAATAAACAAAATATAAAATATATAAAAAAAGGAATTGGGCATATCTCTAATATTGTATATTATTCATTATACTAAACAAAAAAGAAGTATGAAATGTAAGAAATATTTTTATTAATGATGAAAATGGAATGCCAAATTTAAAATTAGCCTAAAAATGAAATGATGTAATAGTCAAATAATAAATTTTTAAAAATAAAAATACAAAGACACAAAAATAAAAAATAAAATAGAGAAAATGTTAGGTACATATCTAATGTTATATTTATAAAAAATAAAATATGTGGTACACATCTAATATTATACATCCATTATATGGAACAAAAATAAGTATTATACATAAGAAATAATTTTATCAACGATGGAAATGTAATAAAAAATTTAGAGCTAACCTAGAAATCAAACTATTTTCTTTATTGGGTGATGGGTTCGTGGTTTGGGTCAGATGAATTAACCAATTACATGATAGTTAAATAATAAATTGTTAAAAAATAAAAAAGTATAAGTAATTAAAAGGATATATAAAAAAATTATATATTAATTATGTCAAACAAATAAGTGTGATAAGTAAATATTGTTTATATAATGTAGATGAAAATATATAATTTACAACTAATTCAAAACCAAAGCTATTTTCCTATCTACATGGTGGGCCAATGATCCAATTTTTTAAAGAAATTCATGATGTTATAATTGAATAATAAATATTTAAAAAATGATAGAACACAAAAAATGAAAAAATAGAGAATTTTGTCAAAAATATTTGAGATCATTTCTAATGTTATTTATTCATCATATTAAATAAAAATTATTTCATTTATGACATAAATGGAATACAAAATTTCGTAGTAGTAGTAGTAGTCAAGGTTCAAAGTATCGTTACATATCGGCTCGTATTGGCCGATACGCATCGTTCCGGGACCCTTCCAATACACCCCTACAGTGGGTGTATCGAGGGTCTGACCGGTTCAGGGGATGGAGGAGTCCTAGACCGGCTCCCCTGAACCAGTTTTGAAAAAAAATAAAAAATAAGTAAAAAAACAAGTATCGAAACGCTTGATACGCCCCTACCGGCGTATCAATATTTTAGTAGTAGTAGTAGTAGTTAGGGGTGGCAACGAGTCAAGCTTTTCACGAGCTGCTCGAGCTCGGCTCGGCTCAATTTCAATCGAGCTCGAGCTCGAGCTTGAGCCCAATTCATTGACTCGATTATGAAATGAGCCAAGCTCAAGCCTACTAGAGCTCGGCTCGCGAGCTGGCTCGAATATATATATATTTGATATTTAATATATATATGATATATAATAAAATTATAGAAAATAATATATATAATAAAAATATTATAATTCTTATTTTTTTAAATATCAAATAAAAAATATTTTTATATATAATTCTTATTTTTATAAAATATTTTTTTCTCAAAATCAAGCTTGAGCCGAGCCGAGCCGAACTGGAGCTTATGAATTTTTTACTCGAGCCGAGCTCAAGCTCAAGGTTTTAGGTCGAACCGAGCTCGAGCTCAAACTCGAGCCTTCCCTAGTAGTAGTAGTAGTAGTAGTAGTAGTAGTAGTAGTAGTAGTAGTAGTAGTAATAATAATAATAATAATAATAATAATAATAATAATAATAATAATAATAATAATAATAATAATAATAATAATAATAATTGTTGTTGTTGTTGTAAATTAAATTTCCACGTGTAATTGACATGCCCATTTACTAATAAAAACGAAAATGAACAAAATTGTTTTTACAAGTCATATACATGCCAATATGTGAATAGAAAAAATAGAAGTATGAATAAAAAGGAGAAACAACAATCAGTGGATTAGAGAGGGATCTTATCGGGTCATTGTTTGTTGCCATCGACCAAAGATAGGTTATCGGAAGGGACAAAGGGAAGCGAGATCATTTTAGTATAAAAATTTGTAAAAAAAAAAAAACAAAAATAATGACTTTCAAATGGGAATCTTATCAGGTCGCCATTCATCATGGATTGGTTGCTGAAAGTGGGGAGAGTGGTTGTTCTACTCCTCATTTGAAGAGGGCTCTCCTTTGAAAGAAAGGAAGAAAAATAGGGTTTCTAAGTTTTTCATGTCTTTACGGTAATTAAAGTAATGACAAAACGTCGGTTTTCAGATCTTTTATTAGAAATAAAGAAGAACACAAGTTCATTACCAATGAAACATTGCTTTTGAAATAGGGAGGCAGGTTTTCCAATATTATACTTAACATAAAATGCAGATTCAATTATCACAAGCCTTTCTGATGATGGAGCACTTTTTTCTTTTGATTAAAACTTTTGTTAGTAGTAAACCTTTTATATCATGCTAATGCCTAATGTGTTTCAAGTATCCGGATTTATAAAATAACATTTTTAGTTTCTTTAAAGGGAAAATCTATTGAAACCCACTTATAACATAACAAAGATTCCCCTTTTTTAAATAAAAATCAATTGACACGGTAGATACAAGTATACAACATTAACACTTGTTAATGTTCAAACTTGGATGTAGTTCCCAATACCTTGTCTAATGACTTAGAATCTCATGAAAGAAGGTTGATAATGTAAAATCCTTTGTATTTCTTTTATTTCTTTTTACTTAAACCTAATGAAGCAAAGAGATGAAGACACAAGGTTCAAAATATCGATACACCAGTAGAAGTGTATTGGTAGTTTTTTTTTTCAAGTTCGATTTAGAGGGGCCGGTTTAAAGTCCATCCACCCTTTGAATCGATCAAAACCCCGATACACCCTTTGTAAAGGCATATCAGGAAACTCCCGATATAATATGTATCAACATTTTGAACCTTGTGTAGACACCCGATATAATATGTATCAACATTTTGAACCTTGTGTAGACACCCTACCTTCCTCTACAAAATCTATACAAGATTATCCATTAGTAAATTGCATACAAACAAAAGACCAGATGCTCTCATCAATTTTTCTTTTTGAATCTTTTCCAAGCAGTAATTGATCCAGGTAACATCATGGGAACATTTGCATAAACCATTTAAAAAACGGAAAAATATGAATAGGCCTAATATAGATTTCTGATTTTCACTACAGAACTATTAACATTCAAAATGTCTACAATCCACATTCTATGCATCAGTAAATTGACATTATTTCCAAACTGGCACCTACCCCAAGGTACTTCGGACCTACAAATTCTGACCCTGCATACATTTAAACTCAGAAATTGTCGTACTGGGTGCTGATCTAGAAGACGGATCGAAGAGTATAATTGCACGTCAGAGATCCAAAGTCGAGTATAACTTACACTTTTTCACCATTCACCATTCACCATTCAAGACATTTGCAAACTACCTCGTTGCGTTCTTATTGGTTCCACAGCGTACTATACGCGTTCAGTTAATCCAAATTAGAGTCTCAGTTGAGTTTATTGCCATAACCTAATGCGCTTCAGCGTTTGTATTTTGTTCATGTGCAGTTTTAGTGCTTTTGTCTTTAAACTGTTAGGCCCGCCGATAATTGTTCAAGCAACCCGTTCTATTTCACCCCTAACCCGTTTCTTGGCCAAGAATGTTGCCTTGGTCTGCAACCTATGACCCAGGCGGTCAAATCATCAACTCATTTGACCCAAACACCGGTTTTGGCCATTTTTATTTTAATTATTTTTTTAATATTTCAATTTGAAAGGACCATCCAATCAAACCGGATGATCGAACCACCGACTCAAAAACTGGTGAGTGATGGCTAAAGCAGTTTTCCGGTTCCGAGTTGATTTTTAAAACATTTTGTTAACTGGCTAACTAGAATGACAATAATCAAATAACGTAATTTCGATTACAACACAAGAAAGAATTACAACATTAATTCCCATCTCTGAGCCAATCTCATTAAAATTAAAAACTAATCCCTTTAAGGGACTACAAGAAGGTTGCACGTATAGATGACAATAATAATCATATAAACCCCTTAGACGGTGGTTGATGCAAATTTTCATCCACAAGATAGTTGTGGTCTCCAAATATTGCCAAGTCTGACCACAAGAAAACGATCAACCTGATCTTGTCATTTAACCTCGCTTCACTGGTCTCTGGACATACGATTTGTTGGGGTCTTCCGTTTTGAGCTTTGGAGGCCGAATTTCCCCTTTCTTAACCTAAAGAGACATGATTAAGTTGTATTCAGATAATCCTGTATCTGCTTTCAAATACATTATAGGAACAAACCAATCAAGATATTCACCTTCTTTCCTGTCTTCATGAAATCTCTCCAACTGGAAACCTGTGAATGAAGAACAATGGGAAATCATCACCAATGAAGAAAGTACACTTAATTTGGTGAGAGTTGGAAAAAAAAATTGTGGAAAAAATCACATGCAGACCACAATAGTTCACAGCTCGATAAGAAATTAAGAACTATATAATAAAGCTTAGGCAAACAAAGAGCTTGACTGCCTGATGTGGTCCACTTGTTCCTAGAAAATTATCAACAACAGTATAATGCAGATTAAAAAAAACAAAGAACTCCAGTTTTCCTAGTTTTATCACTTATTTGTGTTTTGCATACCCTCACCCAACCATGTCCCATCACACTTGAAAACATGGTTTTTAAAACTGGCCCAGTGACCGAACCAGTCAGGGGTCCAGTTACTGGGTCAAATGGTCTGACCATTCGAACCAAACGCTAGACCCGTTCTGACAGAAAAATAAAAAATTCAAAAAAAATAAAAGGTCAAAACCGTTCGAATGGTTAACCACCCAATTCAGCGGTTCGCTGACCAAAATCAATGGTTTTGGGGGAAATCCGGTTTTTGGGGAAAACGGAACCGGTCACCTGACCGGTTCCCAGTTTTTCCGGTCTGACCGTCCAGTCCAGTCTGGTTTTGAAAACCATGCTTGAAAGCATCACAAGCACATGTAAACATGTAGGCATATATAAACTGATAAAAAAAACATGTAGACATAATATAATGTTTCTTTTTAAAATGGTTACAGATAAACACAACAATGTGAAGCTTTAATGGTTTACTAGTTTAACTACCCTTTTGTCTAATTATTAGAGTGTTTTAAAAGCACAAAAAACATTTTGCATGCCCAAGGTGCAAGGTGAGGTGCGTGCCTTTTTGAAGAAGGCATAATTTAAAAAAAAAAAATCAAAAAATTGTAAACAATCAAATTTAAACAAGAAAATATTAAAAATAGTATTAATTAAAAATGCAAACATTAATTTTATTCTAAATGTTTTAAAAAGCCTATTGGATCAAATTAAAATACACAAACATAAATCATAGAATGCAAAAATAAAATCTGTTGAGTTGGTCCAAGTTGTTTTTTATTTAGTTAGGAAGTTGTTGGGCTTTAGGCCCATTAGTTTATGTTTTTATAAGTTGTGATTGTTCAGCTATATTAGTAGCCGCCCTACTAAGGGCATCCTTGTAATATCTCATCCTTTAAGTTAAGTATAAATATAATGAGAGGTAGGCGGCTAGGGTTAATTCTGAATCCTGGTTAACTTCCTACTCTTTTCTTCTTCTCCTTTCTTCTCTNAGTATAAATATAATGAGAGGTAGGCGGCTAGGGTTAATTCTGAATCCTGGTTAACTTCCTACTCTTTTCTTCTTCTCCTTTCTTCTCTACTGCTGAAATCTTCATCTTCCCCCTCTTTCCTTTCACAAGAAACTCGACTAAATCTGCAATTAGTTATTTCTACTAAATCAAACATAACATATAAAACATATCCAAGCACTCAACAACAATTCAAGCATGTCAAACTTTCAATTTCTTTATTTCTTTCCCACTTGCATTATTTCAAATAGCTAATGTGATGTTAAACACATCTTTCATTCCTAATTTTATAAGTTGCCTTTGTACCAAATTCCTTGAGGCAAGCCCAAACAAGTTTCCATGTTAGGGTTGAGAACCCCTTTTTGGCTAATGTTGTTCATTTATTCTTCTTAATACAATAATTTTTTTAAAAAAATTATGTTGTGATTATAATAGACAAGATTCACATGTACTATTTTTATCTTTTAATAGAAAACTAACCTTGGCTTATTCCTCTCCCCCATTTCACCATCTACTTCATGTTCACTCACCCCCATAGTTTTCAAGGCACCAAGGCGAGACTAGACGACAGGGGGGGCGCCTTGTCGTCTAGTTGCCTAGGCAGGCACCTAGGCGATGGATTTTTTTTTAAGTAAAACCATATATCCTAGGGTAGTTCCCTAGGTTCCATAACCATCTTTCCTTAATAATTATTCATAATTTTCATAAGATAAGTATAAATTTCATGTTTAAGTCTAGAAAATCAACATTTTATGAGAAGAAAAAGAACAAAGAAAAGAAAATTCAAAAAGATAGGGGCTGAACCCCTACTTTTGTATAGGAAAGAAGAAAAGAAAAGGTGGAAGAAGGTGTGGAAGAAGAAAATGTGTTGATTAGACAATTTTAAGTTCTTCCCTTGCTTATTGGTTCAGGTTTTGAAATTATTGAGGGCTCAATCAAGGATCAAAATTTCGATACAGTACGTCCCGTATCGGGTGTACTATATTGTATCTTTGGGATCCTGATACCTGTTTACAGGTGTTTTCGGGGACCCATTTTTTTAAATAATATATATATATATATATATATATTTTAAATGAAATTGAAAACCAAAGAAACAAAAAATAGGGGGAGTATCGTTATAAGTACCAATACACCTCTGCCAATACAGAGGTGTATCGATATTTTGAACCATGGGTTCAATACAACAGTTAGCAATGTTTGTGTTGATTAAACCCTAACAAAATAAGAAAATAATAAAAAGAACATAAAATGAATATTCTAGTTTAATAATGTTTATTTTATAACTATAAAGTCAAAAAATTAAAAATATAAAAGTATTTTATAACCCAATGCACAAAACTGCTTGGCGACTGGGCAAGGTGAGCCTCCAAGGGCACCTTGTTGCCTAGGCGTCGCCTTGACAACTATGCTCACCTCACAACCCCCAATGGTCCGGTTACTCACCGGCAGTCCAATTTAAGTGAAGGAATGGACCTTTACTTTTTTCAAAAAAGAAAGGACCTATTTTTGTAATATGGTTCAAAGCATTGGAGTTGAATAGAGGGGCATCGCTTGTAACCTTGCAAACACAGTTAGCTTTCTAATGGCAAATGTCAGACACGGGGTTCATTATAGGTATTGAAAAGTCAGGGTAAGTTCATGAGAAAGAAAAGATAATAGCCCAAAATAATAACTCCGTCTCCTCTTTAACAACATTACCTATTTAACCCTCTTCTTTAGGAATTCAATTTGGTATCTGTGCAAACAAACCCTTCTATATCCATTTCAATGCCTGCACTACTTTGGTATTCTTTGTCCTCCTGCTGTTGATCCCCATAAGCATCTAGAATACCCTTTTCACCCCAGCATCCCCATTATGGGTCAACATTTTTCTCATACCAGAAGACTGCTAGCCTTGGACTCTTGATATGGACTCTTTGAGAGCCTGCTGCTTTTCTTACCAGAAACCTGTCATTTCTTAATCCACCCACCATTGAGACCAAAGATCCAGCAATAGTTCTAGTTGCCTATTAATGACTCCCATTCTAATACTTCCTGGATCGTATATCAAAAATAAGGATATTGCTCATGTTGTTCTAATTTAGTCACTTGGAGAGGTAAGAAAAAATTTGTAGTGTTATATTCAAGTGCAGAAGCAACATATTGCCATGGCTCTTGGTTTATGTGAACTATTGTGGTTGAAAACTATTTTTTCTGAGCTTGGTTATCCTCAATAAAGCTGCCATCAGCATTGCTTGCAATCCTGTCTAGCTCTAGCATGATAAGACTAAGGATATTAAGGTCAAGAGGCACTTCATTGAAGAAAAGGTGGCTTCCAAATAAAGTTGCTTACCTTTTCTGAAGACCAGTGAATAACTAGCTGATGTGTTGACGAAGGCAGTAAACTCAATTGGAGAATTTAATTAGTTAGTTGGGTAATGGTGGATATTTATACACCAATTCTAGTGGGAATTGTGGGTGATGGAATATTTTTACACTATTATTGTAGAACTGTCTACACTTTAATCTTTTAGGGGAAGCATTGTAATTTCTCTTACTTCTCTCAATGAAACAAGAGAGAGAGGCTGAAGCATGAGCCTTGTCTTCCTTTCAACATTATCTTCTTCTCTCAGACATTTTTTTCCTCCTCTAAACCCTATCTAACTCAATTAATGGTGATTATGATGATGATCTATAGTTGGATACATTCAGGGTTTGTGGCTGATATACTTGTTTAGCTTTTCCAAGCTGGTGGTTAAGGGGGAATGACAGGTAGAGGTGTAAATCGGGCTGTGCCGCTCACGGGCCGGCACATACCCCAGGGCTTGGATTTTTAGGTCCATTATTATACTATTTTATTCTAATTGTATTGTATTTTTTTTTACTTCATATATAAACAATTGTATACATCAAAATTCATATAGAATAAAACTTTAGGATTTTTTTTTCAATGTCATGTCTATTTTGTTAATTTATTTTAAAATTTCATTATTTTTTAAAAAAATGCCTCCAATGGCCTAGCCCATGGCCCAGCCCAGCCCAGGCCTGATTTTTTAGTAATCCCAGAGGAGGCAGGCATGGCCCACTTAGGCCTGCAGGTCGGCATGGCATGGCCCGCTAAAGCATGGGCAGCCTGCAAAGTCGTGTCATGGTGGCCCAGCCCGACCTGATTTACACCTCTAATAACAGGTGGTCATTGAATGGATGCAGGATACAGCAAGGAGCCTTGGGAGTTCTTACATCACACTTCAGCTTCCAGGGTCCACATCTCGTGTTAGCCAATTGACAGGCATATCAGTTTGGCCTGGGGCAAGTTCATAGGTATAAGCAATAGGTTCAGCCATCCTGGGATATGTGAGGTTGCTACCAGTGGCAGATAGTTTGTTGTATATGGAAGCAGTTCCAATACATGGAGATAATAATGAATTAGATTTCTGACATTCTAATGAAGAGAGAGTAAAGACCAAAGACTGGCTCAAATCTACATCTATAGGTAACTCAAATGTCTGCGAGAAGGGTGAAGAGGAAAGGAGATAAGGGTCACCCTGCCTCAAGCCTCTCTGAACTGCATGTGTAATATTCCAGAACTTAAAGTTGGATTAGGACTGGTTTCAAGTTTTGTTGGTTCCAGCACCTCCCCACAACAAAAAGAAACATAGCAAATAATTAGATACTAAGTATTCATAAAAATAATAATAATAATAGTTAGATACCAAGTATGTTATTAAAGCATTAAAAATTAAAATGAAGAGGAACAAACCCTCTGCTCTCGTGTGCCTTCCCACTGCTCCTCATGTTCACGTTTCCTTTTCCACATTTCCTTGGCTTCTTCTTCTTCCTTCTTTAATCTTCCTTCCTCTTCTGATATCTAAACAGCAGAATTATGCATTTGATCATGAATGTAAAAAAACATGAAAAGGCGGTAGATTACGCAGAATAAAAGACATAAGACTGTATAAGCTCCAAGTATACCCTCATTTGCATCTTTCTTCGACGCCACTCATGTTCTGTTAATAGTTCTCGCACTCTCTGTTTTAGTTGCTGCTGAAACTCTTCTGATTGTTCATATTGCTTATCAGATTTTCCCTGTATTGCAAAGTATGCAAGTTATGTATTGATAATTTGATTGGAATTCATAAGTTAGTAAAACAAACCATGCTCTAGTATTTAACTGCCAGGATAAATTCCTTGTATTGCAAAGAGGGGATAGTTGAAGGGAAAATTAACTGCTAGGATAAATTGCCAGAAGATGAAAACATACAATTTACAGAAGTAGATGCATCAAAAGGTCATATTTGTATGAAGCCCCTCAACCAAACCCCATGACAAGTTGCATAGTTTTGGAAAAGTCCAAGCATCCAAGGGGTTTGGAAAGTTCCCATGGAATGCAATGCCATTAAAACTCTAACCTCTACCAGAAAGGAGTTAAAAAACAACTAAATGAAAAGAAAGATTAACAGATATAAAGATAAAAATCTCGTGTTACTAAAATGAAAAGAATATGTCAAAATTTGAACATCTTAGTATTATTAAACTTGCAAATTTCTCTACATGCTTCCAGTTGATCAAAATAAATAAATTAAAATAAGAAAAGAAATAAAATGGAACAGAGAAAAAAGCAAACTAGTTGAAAAATTAATGACTAGACGATACCCCACTTGGTATTACCTCATCAACCAATGATTTTATCTTAGATGCAGTGTCTTTCTTCAACTGCTTCTTCCTCTTTGCTCTGAGTTCCTCTGCAATTCATTATATGCAAATGAATATCTAACAAAATTCAAGCATGCCAGTTGCAAAAAACAACACAGTAGTTTTTATATCCAACAAAATTCAGCATTATTCTCCTTCAAAATGGCAGATATTGTCTCCACAATGAAATACTGAACATTATGGTTGATGAAATAATTTTACAAAGAGCCGATAATGTTGAAGATTTTGAAAAGACCAATTTAGAGCCAATTATTCAAGAGTGAGCACAACAAACTGAAAAAATGGGAACAATAAGAGAATAAAGAAAAAAAGAAGAAAAAGAGAGACAAAACTCTGGATAATGTTAAACAATCTCTATTCTCTAAGTTGAAAAGATAGTATACAGTGGAAAAAAAGATAATTTTTTTATCAGTATCAAAAAGAAAAAGGTATTCAAAATTTGTGCTCACCTTTCGCTGCGTTTACTTGGCTTAGAAGATACTCTCTTTCCTGTGGATCAAGTAATAATTGTTGAGCTTTTGCCAATGCTGCCGAGAAGTCAAACACTTGTTAGTGTACACTAAATTGCCACAGGAAATATGTAAGTTTCATTGTACAAATTATGAAGTTACAAGACATTTCTTCAAATTAGAATTAATATTCAGTATTTAAATGTATCAGAAGTTGCAACTCCATTATATGCAAGACTTCAATAGATAGATAATGCACGAAGTAAAGGAAAACAGATTATGATTTCAACTACAGAAATACTTGCAATAATGAAACAGAATTCAATAAACAAACAAGTTCAACATAAGTATGTATAACTGAGTTGGAAACAGTTATTTAACTAGCACCCATTATCTACCCATATAAGATGGACATGAAAACAGTCATTGCTGTCAGCACTGGAACCATACTAATCACTAATAATACCTGCTTTAGCAAACTGCCAGTTGGAAAGATTATTTTAAGAGGAAAAAAAAAAGAGTTTTGGGGAAAACCAAACAAAAACAAATAAAAGACGTTTGGGGTAATAATAAGGGCATTTGAGGTTATCCAATTCCACCAAGAGCACAGGTGTTTGCATGGTTGCTTGTTCTTGACAGCATTCTTCCTGTTAACAATTTGAAGAGTAGAGGATTCAAGATGACTAGTCTCTAACCTCTATTATATGTGCAACAACAGTGAAGAAGATGTTTCGATATCTATTTATTTCTTGTAGGATTTCTGAATTTGTTTGAGGATTCTTTCCTTGTTGTTTAAAAGGAAATGTTCAAGTTAGTTCATCCTCATTATATATTTTCTTTCTGGCCATCTTTTGCAGGTAGCAAGAAGGTAACAATCCTTTGGAATGTTATTCCATTCGTGGTTTGCTAAGATATTTAGAAAGAAAACAGAACCTTTGATGGAAAAGAGCACGATGCAATAAACTATGCACTGATGAAAATCCTTTTATGGATCAGGTGTTATCTCTTCCAGAGCTTAAAGATGTAGAGAGATATTCTTTTTGTTGGTTCAAGATGTATGATTGATTTTAACTACACCAGTGTCCATGTGAGCTTGTCTTACATTTTAGGTCCGAAGCCCAGATAAAGGAGGGATGTGTCAGGTTGGCACCCAGCACTAGAAACTTTTCCATTTGTAAGCACGTTTCCTGATTTGTATTTAGTTTGGACAAGGCTTAGATGATGATGATGGATGATGGATTTTGTATTTCTATATACCATCCTCAAGATGGAACTCTGCCATATTAAGACCTCATCAGAGCCTGAATAGGGAGGGAAAAAAGAAGATGAAGAGTGGTTAATTCCCATCCACACAATGCAGAGGCAGTAAAAGAATAGAATCCTTTTGTAACATAGGAAAGAAGAAAAGGCACAGTGGAAAATTTTCAAAACCAACAAATACTCTAACACTTAGAAAGCCCGTATGAAGCAACTACTCAGTCATGAAGCATAGAGTCAAATCAGATATAACATTACCTGTGGTACACGTTTCATTCCATATTGACCTACTATGTTACTGCATGAAATTGTGATGGATGAATTTTTTTCACTTATATCCTATAACAATAGCACAAAAGTCAGCCAAGTTGATGTTTGAAGAATTTGGTCTTACCCAAACATCTTTCAAGAATGTTTAACAGATGCTTTTGTTTTTATTTTATTTTATCAACAACGAGATCAAAATGCATTAAATTAATAGGAAACAAGATGAAAGGTATATAGTAAGGCATCACAAAAAAAAAAGAACACAAAAAAACAAAGAAAAAAAATAAAGGAATGATGCAACAAAACTAAAAAAAGAATTAAATACGCAAAGCCTACTCAGGAAGGTCTATTGGGTAATATGGATAACACATTTTTACTTCTTATGACGTCCAAAACACTTACCTGCTTAAGACATGCCTTAGAAAGTTAAGAACCAAACAGCAGGGAGAAAAAGTAACTTAAAATAATAGTTACATTCTATCTTCCACCTGGTAGACTGGAAAAGCTTAGAGTTTCCTTACCTGCAAATGCCTCCTTTGCTTGTGGATGTTTGCACTTGTCAGGGTGAACCAGCAAAGACAACTACAAATTTTGAATAATATAAGGCAAAGCAAATAATGACAAACATCAAACATATGAAAATAAAAGACACTTAAAATGGAATTAATATCCATTCTCAAAATTTACCTTTCGATATTGCTTTTTAACATCATCTGGTGCTGAATCAAAAGATAGGTTAAGAAACTCAAATGCATTTAACTTGAAACATGAAAGGATCCTGCAGATGTTCAGATTTTCCAAATAGAAATTATCTAAATTGGAAATTAGGAAAGCCAAATAACATACAGGTAGATGATCAAGAATCAATTATGCAAGTGTAAGAAAATTAACATGTCCATATTACTAATATTGGGAAGATAAATCTGGGAAAAGCTAGTTAACTTTAGATATAAGAGAAACTAATAATGAAAAACATGTATATGAAGGTTGAGCTCACTGTAATAAATAATAATAACAACAACGATCACAACAAGGACAACAATAATAATAGCAGTAACAGAAACAACAATAATGATGTAGTGTAGAATGCAAGGTAAACATGTGTACTGTTACCAAATGATGCAAGGTAATGTGAGAGTACAGTGGGGTGTAACATTATATTCATAAACCAAAGAACCTGCCATTGATGAAAACCAAGAAGAATTGTTTATGAATATCAGGTTCAGTAAATTATCGGCAACCAAACCTTTTAGTAACAGAAAATTCCAATTCCATTATAACAGACAAGACACCTTTTCCACATCTAATTTTATCATAATGCTCCCAGCAGAGACCATCCTGTCAAGTTTACCATTTTTTGCTAGGTAACAAAGAGTTTATCAATCATAAAATTTAGTAAGTTTTCAAAACTGTACAAAAGAGGCAAACAGAAAAAAAAAATCTGAATATAGAAAAAGTGTTTTCTTACAAGGAAAACCTATCCCTGGGATTTAAAAAAAAAAATAAAAAAATCCTCACAAAGAATCATAATCTACAACTTTGAACTAATCCAAGTATGTGCATAATGCAGCATAAAAGAACATGTATCTGGACAGATCGTTCTAAACCAATATTGCCCCTCTCTAAGAATGTTTTATTTTCATCCTTCCAGAAACTTCCAACAATTTGCTAAAGGCACCAAACTTCAGAGAATGGACCTTAACATCAAAAAAGGACTAGGCCACAAAGCACAAACTTCAAGTAGTTACAAAGAACAAATCCATAATAACCTGAATAACAACAAAAAGGAACTCCTATAGATAAGATGATGGAGCAGAAAGACATATCAATCTCAGGATATGTACCAGAACATCTCTAGGTATGATTTCAAAAGAAAATAACCGGGTTCACTAAATCAGCTTCGGCAATTTTCCAAAGTACCACTTTTATGAATGGACAAATTCAAGATACAAATATCCACTTTCACAAGAGTGTGAATGGTTTTAAGTGGTTAGAAGCAGTATTAGTATTGGTTTATAAGCTTGAACCAAAGAAGGTCCAGAATAAAATCTACTTTGATTTCCTAATTTCAACTTAAGGAAAATCAAATAAGTGACACGTGGAGAAGCTGCATTGATATCAACCCAGAAAACAACTTACACATGGATAACTGACTATGAGTGGGTTAGGGACTGCTTGAAAGGGTGTTCTGATCTCTATCATAAAGGCCATTACCCTTTTTTTGTAATAAGTAACGATAAATTGTATTGAATATAGACAGCAATGGATACGTACAAAGTTTTCATACACCCATAGACATCAAATTTTTTATTCCTTCCCCCTTATAATATTATATTACAACTGGGATCACAGAAGAATAGAAAGAAAGTTATTGATTAAAAACCATAGAAAAATAAAAAGGGTAAAAGATTTAAACATACCTTGAGTTTTCATAAATTGACTTAAATATTCCCTAAGTTTTTCAAATGGACTTAAATATATTCACTGTTATCTTAGACAGTTTGAATGAAAAGACAGTTTTACCCATTGCTGAAACGTGAAACAGGATTGCTTCTACCTTGAGACACCAGACACAGCAGGAAAGATATCTTTATTCGCATGTTCAGGTTATTTTCCATAATCCAATTGGAACAATACCCATTTCTATATCTTTATTTGGATGCATGTTCAGGTTATTTTCCTTCAAAACATTTACTGAGGTAAATGTGAAGAACCACAAGAGAAGCTATACTCTGGTCAGTCTGGGAAGAAAGATACAACAGGATCTTTAAAGGAGTAGAGAAATCCAAGCAAGCAACTATAGAAAGAATAACCATTCAAAAAAATGCCAAAAAAATTACCAAAAAAATGCTAAAAAAAAGTCAGAAAATTCAAAAAAAAAAGCCAAAAAATGCAAAAAAAAACAAAAAATATTAAACATAATGTTATTAAAAAATATAAACTTAAAATTTAAAATAAATGTTTTAAAAAAAACTATTATCTAACATTAAAATACATAAATAAAACATGTAAAGCGTATTGAAATGAAAATTTAAAAATAAAAGCAAACGTATAAAGCATTGTCAAGCATGTAAAACCCACAATCTCTTTTTTTTCCTCAATTGCATTACTTCAAGTAGCTAATGTGATGTAAAACATATTGCATTCTTGATTTTGAATCACCTTTTTACCATGCCCCTCAAGGCAAGCCCAAACAAGTCCATGGTAGGGTCTTAAATTCTTATTTCTCACATAAAAAATAATGATTTTATAACTTTAATTGCCTTTTCAGAAGATATTTTATTGGAATGAATGAATGAACAACATTAGCAAATAGGGGGTTCTTGGAGCACAAAATTTTAGGCTCAAAATTTTGAACGTTAGGCTCAAAAAAATGCAAAAAACGCAAAATTTTAAAAAGGCGCATGTCTGGGCTGAGGCGCAAGGCACATCAGGTGCATGCCTAGGTGCACCAAGCGTGCGCCTTTTGAAAGGGGTGCACCTAGGACCTGGGCGAGGCACATACCCTAAAATGCGCCTCGCTTGTGCACCACGCCTTTTAATCACTAGTGTGGAGCCTCTTCGTTAACCTCTAACAATTGGCCAACATCCATTGACCTTTGGCCAAACGTTTCCTTACCATGTGTGACCCATCCCTCGAAAAAAGCGATTGTGTTCTTCCTTGGAATACCTTGTCCACAATGACACTTCAACTTCCAATAGAACCCAAACCTTGAACCAGAGACCTTCAGCAAACAGGTTTAGAAATCTAGGGACTTCTTCAGGTTTCAACCCCATGATTCTGATTCTCACGGCATGAAGGTCCTGGAAGTTATAAGCTATCAACCTTCCACCCGTAACCTGTGGTATCTTCTCTATAAATTCCTCATTCCAAAGATTGAAGGGAAGTCAAACTAGCAAAAGCCACAAAAATCATTTAGGGATCGGATTCTGATTACACAACATATGCCAGCACTCCGCCCTAATCTTGCCAACTGAAGACTCCACCAATTCAGGAGTGGGGAGCTGGACTTCTTCATTACCTCCAAATAGCATGACCTTCAAATCATCGAATGGCTTAATAACCACAAAATCTTTTAAGTTGAATCTCTTCACGACTGCCTCCAAGATACCCCCCAATTGTAACATTTTCATCTTTTTATGAATAAGAAATTATTTATTAATGATATATCAGAAATGTTACAAGAACCCCCTGTTTAGCAAGATGGTTAGCTAAAGCATTCGCTGACCTGCTCACCCAAAGTGAGCTAACAGACATGTTATTTGTTAACTAGCTTGCCTTTTTTAGGTAATCCTTGTAGCAACAAATGACTGATCTCGGATCTGTTAACCAGCCCACAATAATCTTAGAATCTCCTTCAATTAGAAGATGTTCAACTCCTAAATGGTTTGCCATCTGAGTACCCTGTAGAGCCGCCAACAGTTCAGCCTTGACCGAGTCTCCTACTCCCACTGGACCAGAGTATAGAGCTAAGATTTTGCTGTCCTTATCTCTCAGTACTCCTCCTATGCCTGAGGGATTAGGGTTTCCTTGACTGTTTCCATCAAAATTCAACTTTATCCAACCATCAGGTGGTAGGATCCAAGAGGCAATGATCTTTTCCTTCTTAGAGGAGCTATTTACCACTGCTAACCAGTTCCTCCAAAGGTCATCAAAGGAAAACAAATGGAAAGAATCCAAAGTTTTCAGCCAGTGAATTGCCCTTGTTAAGATACACTCCTTGATGACTAAAAGGCTTTGTTCCTTTTCTTGGAAAATTCTTGCATTCCTTTCTCCCCAAACTGTCCAAAGTGACGCAGCTCTAATACATTTCCACATAATTCTCCCTCTTTTGTTGGGCCAAACAAAAGTCGATGGATCAGAGAGTGGGCTTTTAACCGCAGGTTGGTTCCACCTACATCCAAACAAGGCAAAAATCCAAACACAAATAGCTGCAGTGAAAGTGCAGGAACTTAGTAAGTGGAAGCAATCCTCACCATTTGCTTTGCAAAGAATACACCAATTAGGGGACAAGCACAAGAAAGGTTTTTTCTTCTGCAAACAATCCAAAGTATTGATCATTTGATCTTCCCATGGAACACTTCCCAGCAAAAAAAAGTGATTTTAGGGAGAATAGGCCTAGTCCAAAACTCCTAAACCAGAAAAATAAGCTAGGTGGAGGTAGCACAAAGGGCCCTGAATAAGGATGCACAAGTAAAGGAAGCTTTAGGGTGGGGAGACCAAATTCTTTTGTCCAGCTTTAGAGGATCCAAACAGAAACTATCTAGGACACAAAGAAGTTCCACAACAATACCAAGTTCAGAATCCTTCAAACCCCTACAAAAACCAAAATTCCAAGTAGGGGACAAAGGGGAAAAGCGGGAGGGGAGAAAATGGGAAACAAACTTATGCTTAAACAAGGAAATGAAATAGAGTGAAGGAAAGAGGTCTTTGAGGGTTGAGGCACCCACCCAAATATCTTCCCAAAACAAAACAGAGTTGCCAAAGCAAGTATCATACCTAACAAAGTTAAGAAATTGGGGAAGGATACTGTGAATCGCTTTCCAAGGAGTAGTCAAAGTAGCCCGCCGAGATACACCAGCATCCCAGCTGTTCTTCGAGCAGCCATGAATACTAGCTATCACCTCACACCATAACCTAATAAAGCCACATTCTTTAGAACCAAGTTCTCTAATCCCAACCCTCCCTCTTCTTTACACCTGCATACTACCTCCCACCTTACTAAGTGACTCCTCTTTTCTTCCCCAGGTTCCCATAGGAAATCCCTAATTAATTTCCCCATTTTCTTTGCCTCCTTAGAAGGTATCCTAAACACAGAGATAATAAATTGACAGATTAGCTAGCCTGGCTTTGATCAAAGTTACTCTACCTCCTAAAGAAGTATAGCTCTTTTTCCAAGCCTCTAACCTTTTTTCAAATCTTTCCAAGATTGGGGTCCAAAACTCACTCTCTTTCGGATTAGCTCCTAAGGAAGCCCAAGATAAGACAGAGATCAAGAGGCAACCTGACACCTCAAACATTCTGCCATAGACTCAATAACCCCATCATCCAAGTTTGTCCCTACCACACTACTCTTTTTCATATTTATTTTCAGATTTGAGACCCTCTCAAAGTAGTCAAGCAAATCTTTAAGATTCCTCACTTTCCATAGGTCGCCACCCTCACTAAAAATAGTAATGTCATCCGCAAATTGGAGATGGGTCACTGATACTCTATTCCTTCTAACTTCTCTATTTGTTGTTAAAATTACTTTCTTTTCCCAAGCTCCTTTCTCCCCATCTATTAACATGCTAGTCTGGCTCCCTTTCCCATGCAACCAAACTCATCCTTCTAACTTCCATCTTTAATTCTGCCCAGTTTTAGTTCCTCCCATTTTGAAAAATTTGCAGAAAACTTGAAATACCTCAATCCCTTAAGCACCACACAACCATTCTTCTTCAACACCTTCATCTTCTTCCCTGTGAGCCTCCTTCCAAAGGGCTGCTTCAATGGACGTCACCAACCATACTGAATAAAAAATACAGTCAACCAACACCTTCACCTTCCTAGGTATATCCTCTTGCTTCACTCCACTAATAAAGTAAGGCCGCTGAATGAAGATCATAAGGAAAGATTCCATCCAAATGCCCTCCACAAATCAAAGTAATGGAAGTGAAAACTTCTTGCTTCCAAAGATGAAAAGGAAGCCCAAGAATACAAATAGTTACACCATATTCCACCTACAACTTCTTCACATTTAATAAGGAGGACCATCTCAAGACCAACATATTACCATATTCAGATACCATATTTTCAGCTTCTAACTCCAAATCCTCATCCACCAACTCAATAAGTGAATTGCTTTTTCAAAAGGTGTAAGTATCATTGTCCCCTTCAGATTTTTTTTTTTTTTGATAAATAAAAGTTCATTAAGAATTCATTATCAACAACAAGATAAAGACTGTTACAAGCATCCCCAGGGGAGGCGTGAGGTGCAGCCTCACTCTTTAAAAGAAAAAAAAAAAAAAAACTGCAAAAAGATTACACTTGGGCCCAATACAACTGATCCCCAGTTACTCCTTGCTTGGCTAGAAAGTCAGCAAATGCATTAGTTACCATGTTTTCAACTTCTAACTCCAAATCTTCATCCACCAACTCAGTAAGTGCTTTGCTCTTTTCAAAAAGTGTAAGTATCATTATCCCCTTCAGATTTTTTTATAAATAAAAGTACATTAATAATTCATTATCAACAAAAAAGATAAAAACTGTTACAAGCATCCCAAGGGGAGACGTGAGGTATTTATCAAAAAAAAAGGGAGACATGACGTGCAACCTCACTCTTTAAAAGTAAAAAACAGCACAAAGATTACAATTTGGCCCAATACAACTGATCCCTAGTTACTCCTTGCTTGGCTAGAAAGTCAGCAAATGCATTACTTACCATATTTTCAGCTTCTAACTCCAAATCCCCATCCACCAACTCAATAAGTGCTTTGCTCTTTTCAAAAGGTGTAAGTATCATTGTCCCCTTCAGATTTTTTTTGATAAATAAAAGTTCATTAAAAACTCATTATCAACAAAAAGATAAAGACTGTTACAAGCATCCCAAGGGCCTCACTCTTTAAAAAAAAAAAAAAAAAACAGCACAAAGATTACAATCGGGCCTAATACAACTGATCCATAGTTACTCCATGCTTGGCTAGAAAGTCAGCAAATGCACTAGCCTCCCTTCCCACCCATTGTATAGTCAAATTCATATGTTGTGTTGCCCATTTGAATTTCTTCATTTCATTTCTATAGCACCATATCACTGAATCTGGATCTCTAAGCCAACTGACCACCACCTTGGAGTCCCCTTCTATCACCAAATTCTCCAAACCCATCTCTCTTGCAATCTGTACACTTTGTAGGACTGCATACAGTTCAGCCCTTTCAGATTCAAACCCCTGATTATTGCATCTGATACCTTTCTCCAATCTAAAACTTCTTCTTTCAACTCCACTATTAACATCTTCTCCCACTTTTTCTTTCCACCCTGTACCTCCCTCCACCTTGCTTTTACCTGCCCCTTTCATCACAGTAAAAATTTCTGCAGCCACCTCCTTTTCTGAGATTAAATGTTTTTCACTTAAAGTGTCATCTGCCTTGTCCCTCCCTTCCCAATCTCGCATTAAACTGCTGTAGCAGATTAAATATTAATCCACATCCTACATTATCCCTCCCTTCAGGAAATCAGACTAGTTGCTTTTTTCCTTCCCCAAAAAATTCAAACAAGGCAATGAAATTTCCTTTTCCATACTTTCTTCTTTCAGCTACAAATCTTCTTTCTTCTATCTCCCTTCAACCTCTTCCATTCCCTTCCCTTGCTCAAAAACAAAGCTTCAACAACAAAACTCTTGAACCAAGCAACTACTTCTCCACCCACTAGTAACACCACCGCCCTCTTTAACTCCCCTACCTTCAGGGATGTCTTTCCCCCTACTCTGAACTATTTGAATATGAATTTTTTTTGCTTCAGTCTTCACCAATCTCTCCCACTGTCTTCCCATCTTCAATTATCAATCTTCACCAACACAACTATGAATGCTTTAAAAGATGCAAAAGGTGGTTGATATGTCTCCTCCACATAGAAAGGTTACACCATACAAGTTAAAAGATCTATATAATTCCTAAAGCCTTTAGAAAAAAAGAGATAAGTATATTAAACAAGTTAAAATCTATGTATTCAGTACAGAACTGTTATCCAATTTTCTAAAATCTGATTTGGTAAGAAATGTCAAATCTGGCAGTGCTAGCCTGGAGTATCTCCCAAAAATAGCATAAATTCTATACCTTTCACTCTTCTTTTGTGCACAATTCCTCCTAACTGTTTCATTTTGACCTCGACAAAACAAGAAAAATATAGTCCCCAAACTGTACCAAATTGATTGTATTCTATCCATTCTATCCAAGAAAACGACCATGAAAGGGGTATATAACAGTCCTGAAACCATCATGGTCCTCATCTTCTCTATTGTTTTCTTGAAGAACTGTTGAGACACTCTGCTGCCTTACCCTTAATCATGTTTACCTTCTATATCCCTTCCAGAAATATTACGATGAAAACCTCTTTAAGTAATTTCACAACTTGGGCAGTTCTTCTCTCATACAAAGGAACTTAAATCCAAACATGGAGCTAGAAGTGAAAAAAGAAAAATAAACACAAAATTCTCCACAACAATATGGACGAGCATCATCACCCCACCATCCCTCTCAATCAGCATAAAGCGCTCAAACTCAAAACTTTCCTAAGTTTAAATTCAGCTATGCATTCAGAACAGGTATAACCATACGACCTGAAAATCTGTTATAAAGTTTTACTTTTGCCTCATAAGTCCGCAATACAAACATAAATACGACTACTAAAAAATATCCATTAAATATGATGTCAACAAAAAAGAAAAAAAATCATGTTTTTCCGATTATCGCCCCCAAACTTTTTCAGTTTAATACAAGCTCCAAAGCCATAGAGCATCTGATTGAAGGTTTTTCCATCAGAAAACCACACAGGCAATCAAAGCAAAACGAATTCTATCAGGAAAACCCTAAGTGCAATTAACAAATAGAACAGAACAGAACTTTGGTGAAAGTGCAAATACGAAATTGCAGGAATTAAAGCAAAGAATTCTGAGAGAGAGAGAGAGAGAATGTGTGTTGGGACCTGATAACCTCGTTGTCCCTTTCGACTTCGCTAACCTCGGCAAAGAAGTTTTTGAGAAGCAAATCCTCATCAACTTCGGTCATCGCTCGGCCCGTTTGCTGTGTTCTCGCTTCCTCCCGAATTCTATTTTGGTCCCGCTTTCGAAGGAAGCAAAGAAAGATGCTCCAGGCCCGTCACCTTCTGCTTTCTGCGTTCTGCCAAAACGAAACCCCTCTGGTCAACAGTCCTGCGGAGCCTCTCCTACAAGCTACAACTACAAGGGGTTACCGCCTTACCGGGCTAGACAGTTTCACTCAATTGTTCTGGGCTTTTTGCCCGGGCTCGCATCAAGCCCGCTTATAAATGCAGAAAGGGCCTAATAACTAAAATCTTATGCCCGGATGGCAGCCCAACCCAGTTTAGTGTATAGTATTAGTCAATGTTTTCGAACCGTCCTTGACCCGGACGGTCAGACCGTCCGGATCGGAAACCGTTCAGGCGACCAGTTTCATTTTACCCCAAACCCGGTCTTTGATTAAAATTCATTGAATTAGTCAACGAATTATTGATCCAAACGGTTTGACCGTTGAATCGTTCGACTTGGAGAATGGTTATCGGTTTATTAAGTAAGAGCAAGAATGAAAAGAGAAAATCTCTCTGATTTGAGATCTGCTGGAGAGTGAGAGAGAGAGAGAGAGAAAGAGGGAGGGAGAGAGAGATCAGTTGAGGGATGTGTGAGACAGTGAAAGAGATCTAAGAGATCTGGGAGAGCAGGCTAGATGACAGATATGAGAGAGAGAGAGAGAGATGGCAACTTCTCACATTTATCTCATTCTCAAACAGTCAAACCTTTTTTTCTCTTGTATTTATATGCATCTTACCCTAATATTCCAATTTAATGGGTAAGATGACATATCACCAGTTATAATATTTAAACTGTTCAAACTGTTTGACTCGGACGGTTGAACCGCTGCTTGGAAACCGGTCGCTAGAACGGTTCCGTTTTTTGGTCGGTTTTTAAAACCTTGGTATTAGTATACATGTATATATATATGTATAATATAAAATCATATATAAAGCATTTTAAAATTTAATATTTTTATAAAAAGGAATAACATTATTAAATTATTCTAGCAAGCTCGACTTGACATTGGCTCAAAAGTCAAAACACGTCAGGGCATGTATCAAGAGTTCGAGTTCGGATTCAGTGGACCCTTAGGTTCACGGGGCGCATGAACCCTCCAATAGGAGGCATGCACGTCGACTTCTTTGAACTAACCTCAACATAACGGGTGTTTGCCATTAACTTCTATCCGTCCGGTTGAGCCGGACACTAAAAGACAAAAAAGAAAAAGAAAAATCCCATTTTGAACGATTTGCCTCCCATTCTCCCATATCCGAGCCTAACCTTGGCCCGTGAGAAGACCAGACATAAGATGGCGAGGAATCAATCAACAACAAAAAAAAAAAAAAATCAAATGGTGGTAAGCTCCTTTTTCTTCTTCCTTGCACAATTGATCCTTTTTCACAAAATTCTTGAACATTCAACATTAACGACACAACCTCATCAACAGGCTTATAAATTCCTTGCAACGTTTCTCACCAAACTTGGGCTGAAATCAAGAACTCCAAATTGAGTTAACACAAGTGCTTTGTAATTTTTTGTAGTTTTCTTTTAAATCCCTTTGTTTCTTTGTTGATCCTTAGTAGAGACAAGCAACCCATCTAGCGCATTTCCATTTCAAGGCTACAAGCTTCGCTCATGGTCTTGACCAAGATGAGGGAGATTGCCGAGGCGTATATGGGTCAGACAGTCAAGAACATTGTCATCACTATGCGGGCCTATTTCAACAATTAACAGAGGCAAGCGATGAAGGATGCCAGAACCATTGCTGGGCCTAACGTGATGAGGATTATCAATGAGCCCACGACAACCTCTATTGCTTATGGTTTGGATAAGAAGGCTTTGAGGTCTAGTGAAAAAATGTTCTCATCTTTGATTTGGGTGGTGGAACCTTCGATGTTTCACTGCCGACCATCGAGGAAGGAATTTTCAAGGTGAAGGCCACTGTCGGAGATACCCATCTCGGGGGTGAGGACTTCGACAACCATTTTGTTTCTAAGTTCAAGAGAAAGCACAAGAAAGGCATCGACGGCAATGTGAGGGCTTTGCGGCAGTTGAGGATGGCCTGTGAGAGGGCAAAGCGAATTTTGTCTTCCACCACACAAATGACCATCGAAATCGATTCTCTGTACGAAGGTATCGACTTCTATGCAATGATCACTTGAGCTCAGTTTGAAGAATTGAACATGGACTTGTTCAGGAAGTGCATGGAACCAGTCGAGAAGTGCCTTTGGGATTCCAAGATTGACAAGAGTTAGGTCGATGACATTGTCCTTGTTGGTGGGTCGACCAGGATTCCAAAGGTGCAGCAACTTTTGCAAGAGTTCTTCAATGGGAAAGAACTCTGCAAGAGTATCAACCCAGATGAGGCCGTGGCATATGGAGCTTCCATCCAAGCTGCAATTCTTAGCAGAGAAGGTGACCAGAAGGTCCAAGACCTACTGTTGCTTGATGTCACTCCTCTTAGCCTCGGTATCGAGACTACTGGAGGTGTGATGACTGTTTTGATTCCCCAAAACACAACCTTTCCAACCAAGAAGGAGTAGATATTCTCGACCTATGCTGACAACCAGCTCGGAGTCCTAATTCAGGTGAGCGCCCAATGACCAAGGACAACAACCTCCTAGGCAAATTTGAGCTGAAAGGAATCCCCTAGCTCCAAGAGGCGTTCCACTAATTGAAGTTTGAATGAAATTCTAAATTTTAAAATGATATTTTTCATTTTTTTGTCTTTTAGTGTCTGGTTCAACCGGACGGATAGAAGTTAATGGCAAACGCATGTTGAAGTTAATTCAAAAGAGTCGACATGCATGCCTCCCATTGGAGGGTTCATGCGCCACTAAATCCGGACTCCAAGAGTTCGCATTCTGTGAACCGGACGGATAGAAGTTAGTGGCAAACGCCTGTTATGTTAGAAGTTAGTTCAAAAGAGTCGATGTGCACGCCTACTATTGGAGGGTTCACGCGCCTCGTGAACCTAATGCTCCACTGAATCCAGACTCCAAGAGTTCGCATCCCATGTGCGTGAACCCGCAAATAAGAATCAAGCACGTCAGCATTTCTGCATTTCAAATTTGTGCTAACGTTAATGGGCATTCAATAGTTAGTTGAAGAAACCCAATTCAACTAGACACAAAAGGACAAAAATACCTTAAACCCACTTCTTTCAAGAAACTCCCTCCCATTTCCTCCCCTCCTCCGAGCCCTAACCCACAAAAGCATCCCACTAGCCATCTCACTACACATCGGCGTCTATGAACATGGAATCCACCGGCAACGTTAAGCATAGAAAGGTACTCTCCCTAACGAATCTTCTTCTTCTTCTTCTTCCAAATCTTATGTTATTATTGTTCTTCTCTTCTCAACAAATTGAAGAACCATTGCTCCTTACACTGGCGGTCATCAATTATCAAAACAAAGGTAGTCTCCCCAAGTCCTAACCTATTATCATATCATTTTAAAAACCCATGTTTTCGATTAGAATGAAATGTCTCCAATAGATTAAACACAATTGGACACGGTAGATTAAACACCCCTTCTTATAGAGATCACATTATTAAACACTCATAAGTATGAGGAGAATTAAATGCTCCTTCTATGGGCCTAACCAAGCCAGTTGTCTAGTTTGTTGCTTGGTTAATGTCTCTTCCAATTAGTTCAATGAATTCTAGCCCCAAATTGTGATAGTCCTCTTCTGTTGATTGACTTTGGACAAGTATAGAAACTAAGACCTGTTAACCCTTGGATCAAATGGATAGACTCTGAAGAATAAATGGTTGTTCTCTTGCATTAAATTTCTCCAAAAGAATAATTGGGCACATTTGGTGGTCATTGGATTGTTTGGTATGAAGTGTTACTTATCAAATAGATAAGTTTCCAATGGTCTAACATGGATACAACTTCATATTACTCCATTTCAGTGCAGTTGTGTGAAATATGCCTTCATATGCATATTTTCATAAACTACACACATTTCTTTGGCTATTACATTTCACAGTAGTTAAAAAACAACAAATTAATATTACAAAAATTGCCCATTGTGCTATTTGCAAAATGAAATAAGAAAAAAGGATAGCTATCTTGGGTCAATCTGAACTAATATTCACTGGCACGCAATTTCCAGTGGCATGTCACCAATAAATTCCATACCTCTCTGGATCCTCTGTTGGGTGGAAAATTGGTGGACTGAATCTTGAATTCCAGCAAAGGCCACCAAAAACTGAGTATCATTTGTCTGGTTCAACAACTTTTTTACCACCAATTTCATTGCTTCAATCCACTGTTGAAAGCAAGAGAGGTTGTATTCTTTTTGTAACCTTGGAACCTTTCTTGAAAGTGAATTGAAGGCACCCTAAGCATTTGATATAAAACTACTTGTTGACTCTCAATCTTTTTTTTTTTTTTCATTATTGACATACATATGAATGAATGAAGGGTTGCTTTAAATTGATCCAAATTATCCTAATATCATTTCTCATTGATGTTATAGCCTATTTAGCATTGTCCTTTTGTATTGAAATGAAATTCTTTGATCTTTTATGTTTTATAGAATTTCCACACTATTGTTCTTAAACCACTCATAATGTTGAGTCACAACTTCTTTTGCATTATTTCCTTAATTTTTGATAATGCATTAAATATTTGTATCAGATTTGTTTTTATTATTGTATGCTTATTATAACATGAAGTGAATTTCTATAGGAAGCTTATTGTTATAGCAGAAAATTTTAAATGGATACTCAAGGTGAAGGCTGTAGTAGGTTTTATAGTGAAGATGAAAATCTTGCAAATATTGATTGCCAAACTACACCTAAGTTAATGTTGGATGATGGGACACAGATCACAATAGAAGAACCAAAGTTGGGAATGATGTTTGAAAATTTGGATGATGCATATTTTTTTATAATGAATATGCCAGAAGGTTGGGGTTTAGTATTTGAAAGAGCATGAAACATAAAACAAAAAGTGGGTTAATAAAATATATAAGATATTTTACTGTTCTGTACAATGTTTTTCGTGAATACAAACCACAAGATAATGTGAAGTATCATCGTGACAATGTAAGAATTAGATATTAGGCTAGCATGCTTGTTGCTTTAAAAGAAAGTGGTCAATATTCCATTATTCGATTTGGAAAAAAAACAATCATGAGGTTGTAACTCCAAGCAAGACATACATATTAAGGTCACATAGGAGAATGACAGTGACCCAAACTTCTCAAGCTGATCTTGTAGACAAGTCAAGGATAACACTGGAAGCCATCATGGGAGTATATGGCCAATCAAGTTGGAGAGATTAAGAATCCATGATTCACTCATGTTGATTATTGCAATTAATTTTGTACAAAGAGACAAAAAAATATAGAAATGGGGGGTGTAGGAGATATTTTAAATTTTTTTAAGAAGTTGCAGATGGAAAATTCCCCATCCTTCCACTCCATACAACTTGATTATGAAAAAAAAAAGATTACAAATGTCTTTAGGGTTGATGCAAGAACAATACTTAGCTATAATTTTTTTGGGGATGTAATATGCTTTAACACCACCTTTAGAATCAATTGAGATAAATAGCCACTTGCACCATTTGTTGGTATTAATCACCAATATTTGGGGCTACACTAATATATGATGAGACTATTGAATGCAAATGAGTGGGAAAAAACCAATAACGATCTTAATAGATCAATGTGTATCAATGGCAAAAGCCATACAATATGTCTTCCTAGATGTTAATCATCACATTTGTATATGACACATTTATCAGAATGCAGTTAAACACTTGTCTCATCTTATTTGTGTTTCTAATACATTTGAGAAGGATTTTAGCAAATTGATATATGATTATGAAGAAGATGATGAATTTCTAATAGCATGGAAAGAAATGTTGTCATTATGATTTGAAAGGAAATACATGGTTGAAAGGGTTGTTTGTAGTGAAAGAGAAGTGGGCATTGATTTATGTAAGGAACCACTTTTCTACTAACATGAGAAACACTTAAGGAGTGAAAAGCATGAATAGTTTGTTAAGGGGTTATTTGAAATCATCATTGAATATGTCTTGATTCTTGGACCATTTTAAAAGAGTTGTAAAAGATAAACATCAAAAGGAATTTGATGTGGATTTCAAGATGATCCAAAGCAAACCCCATTTGAGCATACAAGTGTTAATTCTTGAACAAACTGCAAAGATTTATACTCCCACGATTTTCAGAGAATTTAAGGAGTACCACAATTTCAACATCATTATTCTGGAAATGATACTAAAAAGAAATTTGGGTTCTAAAAATATACCCAAATTTATTCTGGAAATGCTAATAGCATTATGTATGTTTTGACTTAGAATTAGACTTGCCAAGATTCATATAGAATTTCAGCCTTTTGTTGAACAAACGCAACAAAAGGAATAAACTACCTATATAATAAAAAAAGTTTTTATTTAGATAATTGAGTGTTCATCCGTATTATGTAGTTACTTAGTTAATTTACAGCTCTACTAACAATACTAGGCAAACAAAAAAAAAAGCATCATTCTTTAGATGAGTATCACAAAATATCATGTTTAGATTTTACAATTTTACTAATGGAACTAGGAACTACAACACATGTTAAAATTTGGGGAAATTTGTTCAAATTTTTAGGATTTAATTTTGGTAAGACTAACTTCCATACTTTAGGTTTTCCTCACTTTCACACTCTCCTCCCCAAAGAAACAAATAGACCAAAACCAAAATTTAAAAACCCTTGTAAAATTCCTTTTTGAATTTTTGCATTGTCTTTTCTCAGTGGATGTCAGTAGGATGCTAAGCTTGGTATTTCTTACCTATGTATCTATTGCCTCTGATTCACTAAATAATCATTCGAAAGGCTAGTTGCATGCCATCACATGTATGACAGACACTAGGCAGGAAAAACACATTCTTCATGCCCCATGGTCCTCAATTATCTCTATGCCTTATCTTATAAAGTAGGTTTACTTATTCATATAGGAATATAATACATTATGCTTGGAACCCTAGTATTCATTGAAAGCATCTTATAAGAAAGCAAGTGAAATAAATTGCCATAACAATTCCAACCTATAAAAGTTCGTGCATGTTAGAAGAATGAAATTAAATTGGAAGCAATGTTCAAAATTTTGATACGTATCAGGTTGTATCGGCTGATACGTATCGTATTGGTGGCTTCTCGATACACCCCTACAGGGGGTATTTTGGAGTCTAGTTCAAGGGGTATAAGGGCCTTAAACGGACCCATCTGAACAAATTGGAGAAGAAAAGCTAATAAAAACTTGCAAGCCACAATACAGGCCGATACAGCCTATTTTGAACCTTAATTGGAAGTCTAGATAGAGGTTGCAGTAAAGCAATTGCATACAAAGATTATTTCCTTAGCACCATGTATCTTGATATAAAATATTGGAGAAAATCGTATATTTGTCAATGGAGAGTAGATCCAAAACAAGCACGGCTTCAATGTAAGAATCAAGGAACAATGAAATAACAAATTATATTTCTTTGTCATTTTAAAAAGTGGTGCCATTTGTCATTTTTTGATTACCATGTTTTTCTCATTTCATTATCTTAACCAAAGGCTAGAGCTTTATCGGCTGACAAATATTAGACTTTTCATACCAAAAGATTTAATATAGCGTAAATGAAAGTGGCACCTAGCTTGTTGATAAGGTCTCTAGCTAGTTATAGTGGAGACTTAGGATAAAATCTTGCCTTTATTGGGGATTGAGGGGTTTAAGCATACTTCTTTAGATGTACTGATTTGTGTTTCCATGTATGTAGGAAAACCAGCCCAAAGATGACAAAGTTTGAAGGGATGAAAACCATGAGGAGATTAACCAGTGCATTAATGGTTGTGTTTTTTGTAAAACTTTTAATTAGTACTTATGTGTTTTTTATTATGGATGTTGAATATTAGGATTTATGGATGTTTCCTTCTCTCTGATGTCTCCTCTCTCTCTTTTTCTCCATTTTTTTTTATATATTCAAATTCTGGGTAATGAGATAAAAGGGGAAGGCTACAATGATGTCTCCTTTAAACTTGATGAACGTTCTTTTGATTCTTTGTGCTACAACATAGTAGGTATTCATTTATTTTATTTTCTCATTAAGATGTCCATGATTTTTCTTTTGAGACTGTCTTGAACAAGGAGAGTCCAAGAACAAACTACCCAGGTGATTGCATTTACAAGAGGAGTTGGTGTAGTTGGTGAAGTTGAAGCAAATGAAGGGGCTAAAATGAGTAAGTTTGAAGAGGAATTGGTGCAATTGGCAACTACACTAAATGGGGACCATAGAAAGGACATTTATCCCCACAAGTTAGTAGAGAACATGATGGTTAAAGATGCCACCAAGTACTACGAAGAAGCTATCAAGAAATTCTTAAAGGGATGTGAGAATGCCAAGAATAATGGTGCAGATGAACCTGAATGGAAAGTTTCCTCTTGTATATAGAGTCCTTCACCTTAATTTCTTGTTCCCAACAATTATGCAACTCTAGATGAGGGCTTACTCCAACTATTTGTCAGGGGAAATAGGCAATGAATGGGCCCTAGTACAATAGGGGGAGCAATGCTCTTAGTTTTGGAAGCAATTTGCTTGTTTGGTACACTTCAAATCTAGATTTTTATGTCCCAACTAATATTCGAATCAACAAACAAAATAGCAATTTCCCAATACAATCGCCATTTCTTATGTAGGATAGGTTCTAAGTGAAATGCATAGAAATAAGGAAGATATCCATAACTTCATAACAGAGAGAATTACCTACCATTTTTATCAAATCCAAATCTGGCACCAAAATAAAATGCTATGACAAGCAACCAAGCATCATTGTGAACTGCAACCAAAGACAACCAATCCTTCTCCTGCATCCCATCACCCACAAAGTTAATACCCAAAGCAGGCTCAGGGAGCTCTGAAGGCAAAGTTAACTAAGCATCGCTATATGATCCATAAATTAGAAAATGGAGTTGGACTGTGAAATTAAGGAGGTGCAAAGCGAGTCCTATTCTGTCATTCCATTTTGATCAAGACCTTAAAACGAAATCATCATAGCTTGTTTTAGTCGTATTTCTTTTATAATAAGGGTGTTACCTTCTAGGTTTTTGCCTTAGGGGTAAGGTATATAATGAGACTTGCAATAAGGGTGTTACCCTCTCAGTTTCTCTAAACAAACATACCTAGTTGCCTCACTGTTAAGTGTGTATAACACCTCCCACATCCAAAAAGCTACAAGTCTTACATTGAATTATCATGCACATAGGGACTAATTCTTATACATATATAAGAGAAGAAACCCAATCATAAATATAACAATTATAAAACATATGGCCTTTATCCCTTCAATATTTTCAGATGACCTTCCATGTCAGCCACCAATTTGTCAAGTTCATCAATTCGGGTTTCTAGATCTTAATTGTGCACGGATGAAGTGTCATTATCCTTAAGACCTTAGGGAACTTTCCACACAAAATAATCACACAACCTCCCATTTGGTTTGTTTGCCTACATGGATGCAACATACTAGTGAACACATCCTTCAAACATCAGTATTAACACAAACATAGAACATGTAAAGGTGTTATAGCACTTACAACTTTCCCAAGACAAGTATATATAAAACAACTTGTGTTGATTTTGAGATGTAATTTGATACTCAAATTACATAGCTCCTGCAATTACAAAACATTGGGTTATATTTCAAATCTCTATATGATGGATGAACACAAGTGGATTGAAAACTTATACGTTGTATCAACCAACATTTAATCAATTAACAATAAATTTAGTGGACAAACATAAAATACAGTGTTATTTGATAGAGAGATTTGCTATTTTTTTTTCAATTTATATACATGTTTTATACATCGAATTAACCAATAATTTAATTTTTGTTCTTTTGCTAATTTCCATCTCTTAGAAGTCACCTAGGGGCTACTTGTTACCTAGAATTGCCTATTTGGTTATTTCCATAACCTAAGATGCCTAGGGAATGAGGTGTCTATAGTGAGTGGTCTACACAAGGAGCATGTTCTTGGATAAAAATTGGCTTATATTCTTTGTAGGTATGCTTGGACTTACATTATTTGTAAGTTTGCTTAGTTGCAGTGTTCATTTTCTTTTTTTTTTTCGTTTTTTTCTTTGTAGATTATGGTATGGGTAGACCATCTTTTCTTACCAGGGTCAATGTCAATGGCAAAGTGCAACATTAGTAGCTTGGGGTTGTGCTACAGATTTCCTACACTTCAATTATCTTAACATCTATTAATTCTTATTCCTTTCTATTCTTTTTTCGTCCTCCAACTTTAAGTGAACAAGCTACAATAAATACCCTTAGCAGTTGAGAAAATGTGTGGAGAGCAGAATTATGGATTGAAATAGGGTGAGGCATAAGGGAAGTTATTGATTGGAAATTAGGTTAGCTTAGGTTATGTTTGGTTCGTTGCCACTAGCCTCATTTTTCTAATTCTTACCGATTTTGAAAAAGAATGGGCAAGAATGAATGAGATGTGGATGTTTGGATAACCATTTCTTTCTGCAGGACTCATTCTTCCAAGAATGAAAGTTGGGTCTTGGGCAAAAAATATAACATATTCTGTGGCACGAAAAATATTTGTATCCCATTTTACCAAGTCTTTTTTCATTCGAACTTTGAGGTTTGAAACTCAAGCCCTTGACTGAACCCTCGTCCCTCTCTCTCTCTCTCTCTCTACAAGGTAAAATCAATCTGTTGTAGCTAAAATCGATCTCCCTGCAATGAGGGTAAGATCCCTTTTAAAGATCTACCTCAACTCCTCAAAGTGACATACCTGAAAGTTCTTGCCTACTGCATTGACTAGTGAATTTGCAAAAGTGGTGGTGGAATTCCAAGGGACGCTGAAAGGAAATTCTTAATGGCTTTTGCAAACTTCTACTGGACTGTCTTGAACACTCAAGCATAAGCGCATGCATTATTAGATGGACTAATTAAGATTATGAGACGAACTAGGAATGGTCGATTTATGGGTGGAGCTAGATTCAGAGGTATTGGTAAGATGCTTATGGGTGCATTGTAGGTACCTTGGAGCCTATGGTTTCTATGGGGTGAGGTGAAAGACATGTGGTAAGGTGGCTAGGAGAGTTAGCCACACTTACAAAGAGTGCAACCATGTGGTCAACGCAGTAGCTAATTACAGTTGTGACACAGAGAAATTCAATTTTCTAGCCTAGATCATTGAGTTTGTGTCTAAGAGAAGACAAAACGGGTATCCCTTGCATCCGTTAAAAATGGTCATAGTGGTTTACCTCCTGATTTCTTGGGTCAAGGGAGTGATTTATGTCCAACCCTGTATTTTGCAATCTATGTTAAGATTTTGATTAATAAAATTTTAAGGTGGACGCCTCTCCACCTAGAGTAAAGTTTGAGGTTTTGAAAAAGTTATTTGTTTTCTTGTAAATTATGAAGATACATGAAAATATTTTTGTTTCCAATAGGTCAAATCTCATTGTGATACTATCCATTTTTCTCATAATGTTCCTAATATTGAACCTTTGGCTAGATACTCTTGTTTGTCATATATAGCTAATTGCCAAGTTATACAATGACAGGGTTTATCTCTCTTTTCTACACCTCAAATGCGTGTAATTGATATAGTAGATATCCTTATTACTAAATTAGAGAGATGATATCCTCCATTCAGCACATTCTTATATCAGTAAAGCCCAAACCATTCAGAACATTACTAAATCCACTCTTGGACTTCCCAATGATAACTTTCATAAGCCCCAGGGATTTAGGGTCTTCAGTTAAAGGGTCAAATATAAATGAAAACATCCCAAATGCTAAATCAGGCTTCTTGAATAGATCTATAAGAACATCTTCACATGGTCCCACATTAATTCTTTTGCACATGCAACCTAAGATTATTTAGTCGACTCCTTGTGGCATGAAGAATACGTGAGGCTTCTCTTATACCACTCAAGAAAGCACCATGCATGGCTGGCTGGGCACTGCTTATTTGTGGCTTCTCCAAGAAAGAACATAACCACAACAAAGAAAAATGTTTCTGGTCTCACTCTTCTGTTTTCCAGTTTTACATGAAACAAAGAAATAAAGAAAACTGTTTTTTGGAAAACAATGTAAACTAATTGGAAATTCCACTAAGAAAATAGAAAGTATGCATAAGAGGATATACAGGAGTATACAAAATGACTTGAAGCACATAACCGCATAAAAATGTTTCTATACAAAAGAAAAAGGACCATTACTCACATTTAGTCTCGGCTATCCAAACTCTTGGGAGGGGGACTAGATACAGCCAAACCTTTGGAATTTTTTTGCACAAAGTCATCACTTGCAATATAAAAGAAAAAAAAGTTCCTTTTAACCTGCTTTACTTGGTTATTAGATTTAAAATTGAGCTCTTAGGAATCTATCTAATTTTGCTTGGAAATAGAGAGATGTCCCTGGTCTGTTTTCTAGGCTTTTCTCTTAAACAAAAACAAAATTGCACCTAAGAAAAAGTGGGAGTTTCCATGGACTTGAGGATCACAGTAATCATAGGGCCCAAAATGCTCCATTTAACCACCCCAAGTATCTATAATGGCATCCTCCCCATCATCTTCTTATGGATGTTTAATTAAAAGACTTAAAGACCATTACTCAATGTTGGTCCCTGCCATCTAGGTCTTGGGCCATCTTATGGATGCCTAATTCAGTAACTAAAATTGTCACTTTGGTGTCCTAAATTATCCAGTTTTTCTCAAAACAAATCCTAATTAAAGCTGCACTTTCTAGCAATGTTTTAGAATTTGTAAACATTGCAATACTTGGTTTTGAATGGTGAATGAAAGCATATTGACTAGATTTTCCTCTGGAATGTGTTGGATTTTGGTTAGCCTTAGTTGAGTGCATATACTATGTATTTGTACTAGATATGTTTTATTTTTGCATGAACGATACATTTTTTTTCAACAAGGAAAAATTAGAAAAAAAATCTGTCTTTATTTATATGAAGCATGTGGCATTTTTTTTTGAAAAAATATATTTTTTTCCAATAACA